TTTCTATTCATTTTACTAAATCGACCTGAGAAATATGTGACGTCATAGTGGTGGTCCATATGGACCGGTCTAGAATATATTCTGGACCGGCAATTTTCCCCGTGAAATTACACGATGCCCATGTCAAGCAGCGTGCCTACTAGGCACGCAGTTTGAAACTCTGACACTCTGAGCGCATATTGAAACTCTGACACTCTGAGCGCATATTTCAAAATGTGAGACGGGGAGGACACGACTCCCCAAAAGAGCCAAAATACGAAAAATACAAGGTTAGTCTCGTTCTAAAGATAGTACCATTCTGTGAAGATGAACTTAATTTACTCATAGTACTCAATGTTTTTCCCGATGTAAACCTAGTTATCACAATATAAGGGTCTTAAGTAACTTCTGTGTTCAAAATTTACAGTGTAAAGTTATATCTATGTCTTTTTATCGTCATTTGCCGTTTATTCAGCCATTGTGTCTGTGTATGCTAGAATATATAGGATCACTCCATCTGATTAAATCAGCAAAGTTTGTGTTCAAAACGATAATATGCCATAAACGTGATTTAATCATTTTTCTGCGCGCCTATATTCACATGTATTTCCCAAACTGCGTGCTTAATATTTCCAAACTGCTTGCCTATCCAAACTTGTTTTGTATTACTGTAGATTGGGTTAATTTGGCGCCCGCTTTAATTTGGCGAATTTGGCGAAATTGAAAAATTCGCCAATGATACGACGTCAGATACTGTACATCACGGCGTAACATTGTAATTGTCCATTTTACCGACAAAATGCAAAGATTTACGCGATAAATATGCGCAATGCTCCTCCAAGTAATTGCAGAAGTTTTAATATTCGTGGAATCTTCTTAAAAACTTCAAGTTTTGTTCAGATTAATGTGTGCTTCAATACAATTCTATATCCAAAAAGGTTGTATCACGATATACAGAATTAGAATCACCAGAAAGTAGACATTTCAAACCCTACCCGTTTTCTTCTTTGTCGCGCTTTTCGGCCCCGCGCTCTCGTTGTCGCACCGTCTTTCTAGACACTTTCAAAGTGCCCCTTGTCATATTCAACTGATATACACAGACGGGAAGATATTAAGGATTGTTAAATGCATTATTTGTAATTGATTTTAACTCGAATATTTAGTTTTATTTATTTGAAGCAATGAATAATAAAGGAGAACATATAATACGCTAACGGCATAACGTCTTATTTTGTAAAGGCTTCACTTGGGGTTGCGGTGATAAAATGATGTCTATCTCAATATATACTGGATCAAATTAAATGAAATTAATTGTATGTAGTAAGGGGTATATTTAAAAGAACATGCTGAAACATTGAAAAGTTTTGAATGTTTATCCCTTAATTAGAAATATTTGAACTCAAAAAATGAAACGTAATTTTGTGAATTTTTCACATGGCTTCACTTCATATTTCTTTCAATTTATGCTTCTTACAGACTGAATTTCAATCGAAATGATATAGTTTTTTGATAAAAATATAGAATATGATATGTCTTTCAGGAATCAAAAAATAATAATTCACCTTTCAAACGATTTAATGTTTAATTGATCAAAATATATATCTTGTTGGTACGAAATTCTGCCTGTCCACACTTTTTTTGCATAAATATAAGCGTTAAGTTAGCATTGTTATATTATGACGTCATCAACCAGAATCTGTTTGTCTTTTTCAAAATGGTGAATTTAAATATTGTGAAAGTTTGAGAAAGATCCGTTAAGAAATGAAAAAGTTATCTTCATTTTTCGTTTAAAATTGAAATCATTTTTCTTCAAAATGTTACAGTCCACACCCGGTTTTAGCATATAAAGTCGCATAATACGGCTTGCGTGATTCGCATTTAAAAAGTCCCAAATCAGTTATTTGGAATTCTGATAGGCAAAATATTTCATGGACATACATGTTCAACTGATGACGAAAAATTGTAGAAAAATATGATTTTGCTGTCGAGATATTGCGGTTTTAAAAGTAAGAACGCATGTAAAAATGCAGTAAAATGCCGCGATGTACAGTATCTGACGTCGTATCAATATAAATCTTCGCCAAAATTTAAAATGAATCCCCGGGAATTATCTAGAGTATTTCCTCCAGTGTATTTAGGTCACTTCCGGTTTAGTTTCTTTCAAAAATATGAAAAATGTCTCTCATAAATTGGCTCAGAACTGGTCAGTCACTCATTAATATTCAGGGAAAAACTAGAAAGGAAAAGCGTGGTATAGTAGCAGCATCGATTGAGGTGCAAAATGTAAAGGATGATCGCCAGTGGTCCTCAAAAGAAAAATGGACATAGCCAAACTTATCCATTTACATGGTAATTCACAAACAGTGCGTAAGTTAATTTTCTTGCATATCCGCCAAATTAAATAGCCGCCAATATGCCAAAAATGGCAAAATCGCCAAATTAAGTAGCGCCAAATTAACCCAATCTACAGTATTAGAAAACATAAGCGCCATACAAGGCACATATGTGTTTAATAGTAGAACCCCATAATTGAAACACTATGAGAGTCCATCCACCAAGATGGTGATCTGAAAATAAAAGTTTTTTTCGTTCCCAACTTAATTGTCACTTCTATTATACATTTTGACTTTCAATATGAAAATCTCATAAAATCTGACGATCAAGCAAAATTTCTAAAGCTACATGAAAAACACCTACACGTGCCTCTGTAGAAGTTCCAATGTTAATATGTAGTTTTAATAGTGTATGCGCACAGTTTTTAATTTCTGGCTAAAATAGGCGCGCAGTTTGTGATTTATTTCTTTTTAATCTCCTGATTATCGAAATATTTTGAATTATACATGATTAATGTGTAAGGAATTAAATATAAAACGAGTCTAAAGTATTTCTCATTTATCTTTAAAGTGCTAGATCGATTTACGTATATACATTTCCGTTAAATCAGTGACGAAAATGCCATTAATCTGCTTATGTTTTAAAACTTAGATTCATTTGCACATAGTTTTTGCTAGTATTTGCAAGATTCGTATATTCGCCACAGAATGAACGCATTGAACAAGAAAACAATGCAGGATAAATGTCTTTAAATTACGTTTCAAAATACAGACTCCAACTTAAATGATGCAATGTTCTTAGGCACGCAGTTTGTGATCGAAACAAACTGCGCGCCTAAGTAGGCGCGCAGCTTGACATGGGCACCGTGAATTAGATATCGTTCAATGCGTAAGATTTTCTTGCTGTTTCAGTCCTGGTCGTTAACGGTGGCAATAATACTAATAACGTCATTTCTGCGAGAAATATAGTGAAATATTGGACCTTCGGCCTTCGGCCCTCGGTCCAATATTTCACTATATTGCCCTTAGAAATGACGTTATTGTACTATTGTTTATATAATAAAATTTAAATAAAAACCGATAAGATAATTTCATTTCGTTGCAACTAGTTTCTTGTTCAAATCCTCAGGCAACTGACAGAAAATCACAGCTTCATTGTTTATAATTGTTCACTCTTTCAGTTTACAATGACGGAGCTCTCTTTTAAGAAGTGAAGTTGAACGAATGCAAAGGGTATTAGTTTTTGGGCATTCTGGGTAAATGTTAAGGTAGCCATTTTGGATTTTCCGTTCTAAATCTTGTCTAAACACGTACACTTCATGCCCAACCGATAAATGGATTGATCTGCAAGGAGATGTTTCCTGGTATAAAAGCTTAAACTGATATTTTTTAGTCATTCTGGATTAATATTAATTTCTATTCAAGGATGCGATATTGTTCACCTTGTGTCTTGTTACTACATGTAGCATCGGCTGTCGAGACATTCGTAAACTAAAGCCGCGTATTTTGTCAATGCTGTAATATTACTTGGCATCAAAACATGCTTTTTTATTTTATTCTACCCAACATAATCTAGCTGGCGTAAAGAGTTTGAAATATCAATTTTTTAAAACTGGCACCGGATACGGAAGTTATTATGATAGAGGTTATTCAGCCTTTATTACAATCTTGTCATATGGATTTATCATCAAAGAGTATAAACAAAGCAAATGTTTGAAATCACGAAAGAAATGATATGAATATAATCCTGGAATCAATTTGCTAATTAACATTTATTGGCATTAAATTAAAGGGCAGAGAATTAACTTGATATCAGTTTTGTGTGCGAGATTAAGAATTACATTGGAATTCGAAATTAGGGTTTTCAAGATTTTGCAATCACGCAATTCAAAAAAGTATTATTATTACTTCCTTCGATTGTTCGGGGTACAGAAAACGTTTGTGCCTAGCCCTACGGGGTGTATTCGACAATATTACCCATGCTCTTCGGTCTATATTTCTTAGATACCTGGGTAAGTATGCATATCCTGTTACCCAATAATAAATAAAGGAATAGTTGTTATAAAAATGTACTTGTATAATTATCGATGATTGATTTCACATTCTTCATATCGACCATTGAGACTTGACATTGAGTTTCGTAACAATAGCATTTCCTTAAAGGGATACTCCTTGCCAGATCATTTCTCTCCTAATATGGTAGTGATTACCATAAATACACTTTCCATATTGAGCAAAACATGGAAAAATGTTGAGATGGTCGGTATTGATCATTTGAAAATGTAACTTGCTTATTTCCAGTAAGTTACTTGCCATTTTAAGATTTCACACACGAAAGAAGGCATAATTTGCATATAGAATTAGGCAGGGAAGTATTAAGAAGGACAAAACCAACTGAATATTCTTTTTAATTGTGTGTCTAGAAGTAACGTTGTGCTACTTTGCAATATTCAATGGGCAAGGTGAAAAGAGTTGAGAGTCGATGACATCACTTCCTGTGTGAAATATAAAGGATTGCAGCATACTGGAAATAAGCACTACATTTTTAAATGATCAATTATAACCATATCAAAGGATTTTGGCACCATATCAAATGATATAGCTACCATATTAGTAGAGAAATGGTCTGCCAAGGACTTCCCCTTTAATGTCATCTACAAAATATTTCTAAATTTTAGAATACAGACAAAAGATTTAATCCTGGGGTATTGCCGTAGCAACCGTTTGGGTAAGTTGACTTCTGTCAATGTCGTTCTCCACATTCTGTCTTGGCTTGTATGCCCCACGGGAAATCTTGATGAGTAAATACTTAGCGAATATTGAATAACCAGTCCTAAATCCCTTGTTGGTGAGGCCATAAACGATAAAGTTCACCGCACTGTTGGTATGATACATGTGAATGGTGATAGCGTACCAATAGAATGGGGCTTGGTCATTGAAATCAAATGTAGTAAGAAAAGCATAGGGTGCACATAACATACAATATACAGCAAACATTATAAACAATGTTCGAGCTAGTTTGATGTCACTACTGGTACCTTGATTATTTTCTTTTTTCTTGTCGACTGCTTGGATTCTTTTCTTGGATTCTCGCACTTTTAAAAAAATCATTAGATATGCGACAGCTGTTATACTAACAGGTATAAGAACGGCTACAATGGCCAGGCCAACAATTTGATAACTGAAATCTTTGTGACGGTTATACAAACACGTGAATTCCTTCCGCCGAAAACTGACCTCGCTCCATCCGACCCAAAGAAAAACATTCCACACAAACCCATTGAACCAGGCAGCCAAGATCATAACTGCAACTGATTTCTTTGAGTAAATCTTCGAGTACCACGAGTTCTTGCAGATACAGATGTACCTATTGAGACTGACTAGCATGATGTTGCCAGAAGATGACATGCAACTCTGTACGCAGATAAAGCCAATAAAGTTGCAGAAGCCGGGCCTCTGTACGAGGATGAAATGTTCTCCCATTAGTGCTACGGTCATCATGAACGGCTGCAGTATGGAAGTTACCATAAGGTTTGCGACGGCTAGACTGAAGACAAATGCATTCGGTAAAGTTCGCATTGATTTAACCATTACTAAACTTCCGATCATGAGAATATTTCCTACAAATCCAATGACAGTCAAAAATGCTTCGTAACACACATAGGGCAAAAGGAATGTAAGATCCTGACGTATCTCTTCTGATTCGATGAACGATATCCCCAGCTCTGGAACAGTTTCATTCACATATGACACAGCCATGTCACAATTTTGTCTTGTAGCTTTCTGCCCAATTCTACCTCTAAATCAATTCAACCTTCACGATACAAGTGAACACCGCGTTCAATAACATAATTATTTGCTTGAGTCGTTCAATATTATGTTCTAACTGCTTGTACTTTACATCTACAAGAGACATGTATCGTGTAAGGTATTGTTTTATTGTTTATCATAAAAAGAGGCCCTTTTCAAGCGTTTCAAGACTTTGTTGTTTTTTATTCTATACCTTCAACAAGCATTCATCAACTATCTAACCTTTTTAAGTACCAATACTCAGTCTGCTTCTTCAAACTTGATATAAACATTCGAGTCTCTAGCACGTATTACTTCAAGCTCGACTTCAACATTCGGATCTTTAACACATACTCAGACGTAGTAATTATAGTTTACATCTACAGGCCAACACACTTTCACGACTCCAACACTACAACGACAGTCTGATGTCAAGAAACATTAAAACCCAATGCTTTCTTTGTTAAACGTTGTTAAATACAAACATACACTCCCCTCCATAAGTTTGGCAACCTTTTTTCCCCCATTGAACTACGTGTTAAAGCCTCTTTACCTTTGAATTTTTATTTACTTAACCTGCGATGAAAATACTTATACTATTGATGGAAACGTAATTTTACTTTAATTCCAATACCTCCAAATTTTCTCAATTTTTCCCCTCAATTACAGTAGGTCGAAAATTGATGATGAATTTGATGAAATTTTGAAAATCGACATTCCCATGTTAACCAATGGGAAATGGTAGGTTTGCCGCAAGTCATATGACAGAATATCCATCCATCCGAGTCCTTGCAAAAAATACGAGTTAGGCAGGTAATTGAATTTGCTAACTTTATTTAACAAAAAATTGATATGTTTCTTCAGGTTCAACAAAGTTATAGGGCTTTAAAGTCAAAATTGTTTTTCAAAAAACCTCTCCCATTGAAATAACACAGGAGGCGAAAAATTCTTTTCAAAAATGACTTTGAAGCGCTGTAACTTTAATATTCATCAAATAAACTAAACACTTAGTGTTCAAAAAAGTTAGACAATTCAATTTGCTATATAAAAATATTTTTTGCTGAATCTTTTACTGAAAAGATATCCTGATTTCTGATTTACCCCGAACCCTCCATTTCCCATTGGATTACATGGGAATGACGATTTTCAAAAATTCATCAAATTTATCATCAATTTTCGACCTATTGTAATTGAGGAAAAAAATTGAGAAAATTTGGAGGTATTGGAAATAAAGTCAAGTTACGTTTCCATCAATATTATAAGTTATTTCATCGCCGGTTAAGTAAATAAAAATTCAAACGTAAAGAGGCTTTAACACGTAGTTCAATGGAGAAAAAAGGTTGCCAAACTTATGGAGGGGAGTGTACAATTGTTCATTCGATAAACCAACGCCGAAGGCCAGAATTTAGGACTCTTCAGAAAATGTGTGATTTAGAATTTTTCATGGTCAGGAAAAGTATGACACGGACTGATATGAGAAAAAAATTGAATGATTTTTGAAACATTGATCTTTGTTCCTGATATGTTCATTGATATCTTTATCATCATTTCGAACGAAGTTTAAGGGGATAGGCTATACAGAAAACGCCTCCGTCCGCTCATATGGTCAATAACTCAAATACCGCTAGCTCAATATTGCCCGAGGCAGTGCACATCGATACATGTATGTAAATCAATAAATCAAATATAGTTTGTACTATTACATGCACTAGATATAGTGTCTATGGATTTCGTATCATGTATGACATTACATAACCATTCCTAAATCAATAGGCAGAAAACATTACCAAAGATCATGACTCTCAAGACCAATGCTATATCCGATTGCCGGACACATGCAAAACAAGTATGCGCCTCATAAAACCTTCCCAATTTCTGGAGATGGCCATAGGAACTGTCAGATGATAGGATTCTCAGGAATTGCATACAAGGCAATTGGCAAACAATTTGTAGAAATCGACTATAAAATGTCGAAAGACACATCCGAGTATAGGCCGAAAACCACTCTTTTCGGTGATCAGTTCTCATACCAGCCCCACGTTTAATTTTTGTTTTTGTTTTTATACCACCAGAGGAAAACTAAAGCATTTGGATAGTTATTTTTAGATTTAACAGGTAATGATCAAAAGTTTTACTGAAGCATAAAAGATTGAACGAAATTAAACATTTAAAACCTTATAACCAAGAATAGTTAGCATATCACAAAGAATAGTTAGCTTATCACCAAGAATAGTTATTAGCTTATCATAAATGCCGAATGGCAATGAACTGCTGCTCAAAATGAGGAGACATATTTCTCGATAGTCTAAAATTGGTCCTTGGTTTCACAAATTGGGGGTGTCTCATTCACCTGGGAATTTTACCAGTTCAAGATGCTATATATTTGATTTTCTCTTTCGTAAATGTTCTTTGGACGGATATGATTTGATTCAATCTTCTGCCCTTTCCCACAAAAATGTTCAATGTGCTTTCGGAGGGGATATTGTTGAATCCTTAGAATAGACAAAAGTTCTTCCCATTTATTATGCACCATAACCCTACTATCACACCAAACTAGTTCTCACTACGTTCTCGAAAACGGGCTTCAACTGTGCACGAACGGATTTGATGTACTAAGAACCCACTAAGAACCGCTTGGGATCTGTTTACAAACTTCATGAAACTACTAGAACGAGTAGGTCCTCCAGAACTTAGAGCATGCACAAACTTTTCTGGTGATCGTCAAAACGTTGCCGAATCGGTTTTAAACTGTGTGCGAACTGAATGAACGTAGCTACATCGATCGTTCTACGATCTGTTTACGAACTTCATGGAGTTTCCCGAACGGGGAATGTGATTTAGAATTTTGAATCGATTCAAAATTTGATGGCGACCATACCGTTCTGTAATCAGGTCATGATGACCTTCTAGACTAAGGGACGCGTTATACGACGTTGCACACCGACGTGGTGCGACCTGAACGCACTGCGAATGAGATGGACGTATTGAAGACTGTTTATGAACGAAGTAGCTAATTATTTTAGACATATTTCCCGACCACAGCCAGATTGAGCCCGTTTTACGAAGTTTTCGTAGGACTGGCAAGAACGGGTAAGAACTAGTTTGGTGTGATAGGGGGGTAAGAAAATATTAAACCATGCGAGGAGATAGATAGTTGAATTCTTAGCAGTCAAGCCGAGTAACTAAGTCAACATTCGAAAATAAAAATCTCAAAAAGCGTACATCTTTGATTTCCAAATTAATTTGTGAAGTGGTTATTAAGATGATAATACACATTTTAACGTATTAATTTTGAGTACATCTCGAATCCATTCTCAAAAAAGCGTTCTCGAAATCAGTATTCGAAATATTTGAGTTCGGGAAGATAAAAGTACATTAAGATATACCGCTCCTTAACAAACTCCTTTGGGAACAACATATAGAATCAAATGCATATTCTTCTTATTAACTCCCTGACACATGCCAACGAATGTTACATAAGTAAATATCTCCGTTTTAAATAATTTTGTAAACGTTGTTCTCTACAGGTGCCATTTTCTATAATTGAAAAACAAAATTGAACATTTTGCATTTCTAAATTGATAAGTTTCTTGGATTACAACTTAACCGTTAACGATTTAAGTCGTTTATAATATTTCTCTTAGTGATCCCATGCTAAATAGACAGTAACTAGGTCATTGTTTTGTGTTCAATCTGTTTCCATGACTTTTAAACATGAGTCGACAATTATGTAGGAAATTTCAATTCCAAATGTAAGCGTGTAATATCCTGTTTTTGCACAAAATTTAGCATTTAATAATGATAGATCGTCAAAATCTGCATGTACCTCTCACTGAGGCGACATGTTTTAAAATTCATAGATGCTGAGCTATAAACTCAAACAAAACTTCAAACCACCCACTATTATTTTGATTACACAAGACGAAATTTCCACTCCCGGGGAGCACTGTCGTGGTAACACTTTGAAGGAAGATTCTTGAAAAATCGTTCGAATTTTCACAAAAGGTTTCACGCGGTTTTATTGCTTTGTTTAAGCCTCGACTAATATCATACTCAAATCCGATACCATAATTATAAATTAAAATGAAACACTAAACTAACCAGGTTATATGATAAACCGTTTCGAGAATCGATGATTTGAGTTAACTGTGGATATTTATATAAAAGTAAGTCAGCATGTATTCGACAGTTAATGAACACACATGATGTATGCATCAACGTGTGACTTAAATATCAATTCGTGACTATCATATTTTGCTTTCAAAAATTAAGTTGGAAGTTACAGTGGTTGGAGATTAACGAAAACGTCAATCACATCCAAATATCCGAACGACGTCAAGTATTAACAATACACTTTTCGTCCATCTCGAACAAGGCAAGGTTCTGTGATCCAGCAATGTGCATTCCGAAAGAAAAAATTCACAAATATCAACAAATTTCATTGAGTTGGATATTACTTTCGAAATCGCAACTTTCGAAATATTTGTTTTAACCACGAATTGTAAGAACTTCAAACATGTTGTTAGTTTTTCAAACCGCATAGCCTCATTTACGTTCTTTAACAAGGATGAATTCATTTGAAAATATGGATTTTCTTGATTATTATTCAAAACTAACCTTGAAATATAAGTATGTGGCGATATTACAGTGTAAATTGACACGCATTTATTTGCTCCATATCATGAAAAAATAAATGCAGTACCATCTTTCAATATTTGAAAACAGAAAGTTCATTATGTATGTAAACAAGAAAAAATACTTTTATGGTTGATTAATAATGAAAAATGACAAATAACATACATCTTTTAAAGTAGGGGTATACAGAGACATAGTGGAAATTCAGAAATTTAAACCATATCCCCAAGATTGCTTCAACAATATGTAACAGAACATCAAAATTATCATTTACACGTTTGCTGATAGGTTTATTAAAAGTAATTAAACAGAGGTTTACTTCAATTGTGGCACCATTCTTAGTAAATATTGATGAACATACGAATATCAAATGTTGACTAAGTTACTTGACTTGACCGTGTGATATCTCACGATGGCAATATGGAGGTGACCATTATGTCCGAGAGTGCTAAACTGAACACAAAAGCATTTGGCAATGTTCTCATTGATTTCACTTTCAAGATAGTCCCAATTATGAGAATATTTCCCACGACTCCAATTACAAATAAAAGGGCTTCGTAAAACACGTACGGCGTAAGGAATGTATGATCGTGCCGTAACATCTCAGATTCAGTGAGATATATTCCTTTCTCTGGAACAGTTTCATTACTATACGTCTCTGACATGTTTCCTTTAATAAATAGTCCCTTGGCTCAATTAATTTAACTTGCAGTGATTGGTGTTCGTTAGCTCTAGACAACGCCTCCTTCTATTCGTTTGTCTATTTGTGAAAGAACTCAAATACCGACGACACGATTTTTTCATATTTTAGATGCAAAAACTTTTTGGGATTCTACAGTAACTGTATTTCATTGCCGAGCATGAAAATGCTTACCACCAACCAATCCAACCCGTGTTGCAGCCTCTATCTATACAGTGACATGCGTCTGGACCGCGTAAAGTAACTGACCTATCGATATCTTCTTTACAACAGCCACTTACCAGGGTATCAATATCAGATAAACGAACAAAGCATCTTACGTGTGAGAAAAGTAATCAATCAGGAATGCAAAATAAAAATGTGCACATGTGAAATGATATTGGAAGATGACAACGTCGTTACATGAATGCAACCATATGCTTACTAGAGAAGGCTTATAATGAATAATGAAATGCAATGCAAAGGGACCCTATATACCTAGCACCGTTTGTGTTTCCGAAGTAGGAAATATTTTTATCATAGAGACTTTAGGGGTGATAAATACGTATGGTTCCCATTGATTTACATGGGAATGTCGATTTTCCAAAAATCAGATTTATCATCAAATTTCGACCTATTGTAATTAGATAAAAGCTTTGGTAGTTTGGGTTCGGACATCCATTAACAACTTTCATCTAGTATGGTGGTCATTTCGAGAAATAATTTCTAGCACTCTTGTCTGACACCTATTTGATGTTCGATGAGATTTGCTCAGTCTTTCGTTGTCAATATATAGTCATTGATGAGAACAACAATAAGATGTGTAAAATAAAACTGACCAAATACCCACCGAGAATCGTTTGTTGTTTGATGGAATGTTATAATCTAATATAAACTGAAATACTTCATGTCAATGGATACAGATGTAAGTAAAACCGAAAAATCAAAGATTTTGTTCAAATACTACTAATCTAGTTTCTGCGAATGATTTATTCAGATGTTGTATTACTACAAATCCATTTTCAAACGAATAGGCAGAAAACATATTACCAAAGATCATCATTTGGCCAATTGGTGTTATTTACAAACGTAAAACAAAAAAGCACATCATGACCCACGGCAAATGGCAAACTTATCTCTTTTGTTTTCCAAGTCATGTATACTTGTAGAAAACGGCTATAAATGTTGAAATGAGACATCCGAGGAATATGTACTTATAAAGTAAAACGTAAATAGGGCGAAAAACCAGTTTTCGGTGATCAGTTCTCACACTTGCCCCATGTTTTAGATTTATTAATTACATAAAATAGGTACATAGAATCCTTTATAAAATCCTTTGACTAAATCTTTTTACTAAAACATCTTCACAAACTAATCAAACAAATAAAAGATTACTGTGTAAATGTCACATTTCCCAAAAACTATCACCAAAACTAGTTAGCTTATCACCAAGAATAATTAAATAATTACGGATGCTGAATTTCAGGGAACTACTGTTTTAAATGGGGAGACATATTTCTCAATGGTGTAGAATTGGTCCTGGGTAAAAAATAAGGTCATAGAATACAGGGTGGGCTAAAAAGGCAACCCAAACAAATGTAGGCATAACCAAGTCATCCAGTAATACCAGTATGTGTTTTGAGACATATTTTAGACAATTGAACCTTGTCCAATGTTCCTTCATTCTACCAAGTTATATTGGTCACGAGTTTATGGCCATTTACTCTAAATGCCAAAACACACGTGGCCATTTGAAATAGACCAATGAAACTTGGTTGAATGACAGAACATTGAACAAGAGACAATTATGCCAAATATGACTTTAAACCCATGCTGGATGACTTTTTGGAATATCAAGAGTAGAGTAAAATAAAAATGTTCGAATATTTCAAGCTCATCGAAATTACAGAAAAATATTTTAGTTGCTTCATTTATTGTTTTCAATTAAATTTGTTAATAGTTTTAGTTTCACCATTACAAAAAAAACATGAAAAACATACAATCATATTTTAAATCAAGGTATTTTTAACACATTACCAACCATATTAGTGATTTTAGAGTATATCCTTACGTTCTTCACAAATTCTGTCGTTTTGGCGGGGTTGGGTTGGCAGAGGGGTTGCTCATTCCTCTGGAAATTTTACTAGTTCAATATGATATTTGATTTCCTGTATCGTTGATGTTTAGACTAGACGGATATGATTTGAATTGTTCTTCTGACGTTCGCCACATATATGTTCAATATGCTTTGGGAGGGGTATTTTGTTGAATGTCGTGCCATTGATGTGACTTTCCTCAATAGCTTACATCAGTTTTCACAACGCAATATGAAAAGACAAAAGTTCTTCCCATTTATTATGCACCATAAGAAAATATTAAACTATGTGAGGAGATAGATAGTTGAATTCTTAGTTCTTTTCTTCATCCTAGATTGTTGGATTCTATAAAGTAACAGTTTGTGTCATTTGACTTCTGTCAATGTCGTTCTCCACATTGCTTCTTGGCCTGTATGTCCCGCAGGACAACTTGATTAGTATATATTTAGATAACAGTGAATAGCCAGTCCTGTAGCTCTTGTTGGTGATGCCATATATGATGACGTTCACCGCGCTATTGGTGTGAAACATATGTATGAAGATAACGTACCAGTAGTATGGAGCGTCATCGTTATAATCAATCAAATGGATCAACCCGTAAGGTGCACACAAGATGCAAAAAATAGCAAACATAATGAACAGCATCCGGGCAAGTCTGATATCACTACTTGTACCTTGATTCTTATCCTTCTTTTTACCGAATGCCTGGATTCTCTTCTGGGATTCCCTTACTTTTAGAAAAATCATGAAATAAGCTACAGCCGTTACAAATAAAGGTGTTAGAATCGGAACTGTGATAAGAGTAATAGTATAACTGAAGTCCTTATGACTGTTATGCATACAGGTGAATTGTTTCCTCTGGAAGCCGACGCCGCTCCATCCAACCCACAGAAAGAGGTTCCAAAGAAAACCATGGAACCAGGCAGCCATGATCATAACTGCTACTGATTTCTTTGAGTAAATCTTCGAGTACCACGAATTCTTACAGATGCAGACGAACCTATTGAAACTGATAAGCATGATGTTGCTGCACGAAGAAAGGCAACTCTGAAAACAGACATATGTGATGACGGTACATAGCCCGGGTCTTTGTATGAGAATGAACTGTTCTCCCATCAGTGCTCCGACCATCATGAACGGTTGCAATATGGCGGTGACCATTAAGTCCGAGAGTGCTAAACTGAACACAAAAGCATTCGGCAATGTTCTCATTGATTTCACTTTCAAGATAGTCCCAATTATGAGAATATTTCCAACGACTCCAATTACAAATAAAAGGGCTTCGTAAAACACATACGGCGTTAGGAATGTAAGATCGTGCCGTAACCTCTCAGATTCAATTAGAGATATTCCTTTCTCTGGAACAGTTTCATTACTATACGTCTCTGCCATGTTTCCTTTTATAAATGGATTCGTTTTACAATATGAAGGTCTTCTCTGTTGGCTGGTTCCTTGCTTCAATACAAATAACTTTCAGCAATTAGTTTTTGTCACCGCATCTGATATCTATTGGTATTCAAAAGAAATTATAAATTAAATTAGGTTCTTCTTCATGTATACGCTTGTTTATTTGGGCGAGAACTCAAATACCGATAACCTGATCATTTTAGATTCAAAAACCTTATCGGCATTCCATTTCATTTCCGAGTATAAAATGCTTACCGCCAATCTAAACCCGCGTTGCAGCCTCGATTTGTATAGACTCATGGGTCTGGACCGCGTTAAGTAACTGTGATCTATCGATACCTATTTAAAGATTTCTTTACAAATAGCCACCAAACAGGACATCAATATCAGATAAACGAGCAAAAAATCTTACGTATAAGAAAGTAATCAATCAGGAAAGTAAAATAAAAATGTGCGAATGAAATGATATTGGAAAGATGTCAACGTCGTACGTGAATGAGACCATGGGTTTTGTGGAGAAGGCCTATAATGAAACGGTTCCAGAGAACGGGATATCTTTCATTGAATCCGAAAGGTTACGCCGAGACCCTACATTCCTATTACCATTTGTGTTTTACGAAGGATTTTTAGTAGTCGTTGGAGCTGTAGGAAATATTTTAATCATTGGAGCTTACGTAGTGGTGAAATCGATGAGAACTTTGCCGAACACATTTGTGTTCAGTCTAGCCATCTCGAACTTTATGGTGACTTCCATACTGCAGCCGTTCATGATGGTCGGAGCACTGATGGGAGAACAGTTTATCCTCGTCCAAAGACCCGGCCTCTGTACCGTCATCACATATGTCTGCATACAGAGTTGCATGTCTTCTTCAAGTAACATCATGCTAGTCAGTCTCAATAGGTACATCTGTATCTGCAAGAACTCGTGGTACTCGAAGATTTACTCGAAGAAATCGGTTGCAGTTATGATTATGGCTGCCTGGTTCAATGGGTTTGTGTGGAACGTTTTTCTGTGGGTTGGATGGAGTGAGGTCAGCTTTGAACGAAAGCAATTCACTTGTATGTGGAATCGTCAGAAGAACTTCAGTTATCACGTCATTGGCCTTGCTATATGTGCCGTTCTTGTCCCTGTAAGTGTCACTGCTGTCTCTTATATACTGATACTTTTGAAAGTAAAAGAGTCCAAGAAAAAGATACAAGCATTCAATAAGAAGGATAAGAATCAAAGTACTAGTAGTGATATCAGACTAGCTCGGATGTTGTTTATCATGTTTGCTGTATATTGCATATTATGTGCACCCTATGCGTTTATCACTACGTTTGATTTCAACGATCAAGCACCTTACTATTGGTATGCTACCTTTCTACACATGTTTCACACCAATAGCGCTGTGAACTTTATCATATACGGCATCACCAACAAGAGCTTTAGGACTGGCTATTCATTGTTCTCTAAATATATACTAATCAAGTTATCCTGCGGGGCATACCAGCCAAGAAAGATGGTAGAGAACGATATTGACAAAAGCCAAATGACACAAACAATGACAATAGCTACGACTGCACATAGTTAGCTCCAAGGGGAGAGGGGTATATCGTGAGGTATCGGTGTGGATTGCCATCTATGTATCCATTGTGTTTGTATTTTACATGACTTGCCAGAAATAAACTGTACAGAGGTATAACAATTCATTAAACCATATTTTTTACAAAATATGGCAAAGGTAACAAACAAATAGTAAAAGAGTAGAAGTAAAAAATAAGGAATGATTTTTTGTTCTCTTATATGTAAATACTTGCAAAATGAAACATAATGTTTTTTTGCAATTCATTTAGTATGGTGGCCATTTTGTAAATGATTTCTAGCACTCTTGTCTGACATGACATTTACAAGATGTTCGATAGGATTTGCTACGTCTTGTATTGTCAATATATAGTTATTGATGAGAATAACAACAATGAGGTGTGTAAAATAAAACTGATCAAATACCCACCGAGAATCATTTGTTGTTTGCTAAAACATGATTATCTACAAACTGAAATACTTCACGTCCATGGAAATGTAAAACCAATAAATCAAGAATCGTTTGAGGTATTTGAAGTGTCTGCGGATGATTTATTCAGATGTGGTAAATACAAATCCATTATTAAATGACATGGTACAGGGGCGTAGCCAGCAATGGCAAGGGGGAGGGGCGATATTTTGGGGTTTGTATCACTGCGAGCGAAGCGAGTCCGAAAAAGGGGGTACAGGGGTTGACGCCCGGAAATATTTAAAAATTTACATTGTATAAGGTGCGTTCTAAGCATTTCAAACTATTTGATAATTTTTTCCAACAAATTTTACAAAATTGCTTTTTTCTTTTTTTGTGGGGGTGGGGGTACGCCCGTGTGTACTTAAAAATAATGGTAACAGACCTAAAATTATATTGGGTGCGTCAGTTTACAATATACCAGGTATATGCATATTTTTTAGAACAGAAACACATAAATAATTTGCATGAAATCCATAGTGTATATAATCGATCCAAGAAAGATATATTTCCTCAAATGTCTAGATTGAAGAAAGAGCTACTACTGTTTTGCCATCTTTTTAGTAGAGCCACTTTAGGGATAGCACCACAATAGAATGAACTGTTTTTAATTTTTAAGAATATACAGTTGTAACAAAGAAAAGTGCATTTTTTATTGTTTTATAAGAATTGACACTTGACAAGCTATCCAAAACTAGAATAACACAAAAAACGATTGTCTGTCACATGAAGTGCACTAAAGCTGAACTAACTACACCCTATTCACTCATTTAATAGTTGAATAGTAACTTGACTTTCTCATTGGCATCACAATGGCTTATCTCAGTTTTAACAACGCACGATGATGATACGAAAGTTCTTATGTATACTAAGACAACAATGAATGGCCGGTCATTTAACTCTTGTTGGCGAGGTCGTATATGAAGAAGTTTACTGTTTACTGTGTCAGGTCATTGTTTGTGTCATTTGACACCTGGATTCTCCCCTTTAGGCTAATTATATGCAGTCGTAGCAACTGTCACTGTTTGTGTCATTTGACTTTTGTCAATGTCGTTCTCCACATTGCCTCTTGACCTGTATGTCCCACAGGACACCTTGATCAGTATATAATTAGATAACAGTGAATAGCCAGTCCTATAGTTCTTGTTTGTGAGGCCAAATATGATGAAGTTCACAGCGCTATTGGTGTGAAACATGTGTATGAAGATAACGTACAAGTAGTATGGAGCTTCATCATAATAATCACACAAATTGATCAATGCGAAAGGTGCACACAATGTGCAAAAGATAGCAAACATAATGAACAGCATCCGAGCTAGTCTGATATCACTACTGGTGCCTTGATTCTTGTCCTTCTTTTTACCGAATGCCTGAATTCTCTTTTGGGATTCCCTTACTTTTAGAAAAATCATAAGATAAGCTACAGCCGTTACAAATACAGGTGTAAGAACGGGAACTGTGAAAACAGCAACAGTATAACTGAAGTCCTTGTGACTGTTATGCATACAGGTGAATTGTTTCCTCTGGAAACCGACGCTGCTCCATCCGACCCACAGAAAAACATTCCACATAAGGCCATTGAACCAGGCAGCCACGATCATAACTGCAACTGATTTCCTCGAGTAGATCTTCGAGTACCAAGAATTCTTACAGATGCAGATGTACCTATTGAGACTGACTAGCATAATGTTGCTGCATGAAGAAATGCAACTCTGAAAGCAGACATATGTGATGACCGTACAGAAGCCGGGTCTTTGTATTAGGATGAACTGTTCTCCCATCAGTGCGCCGACCATCATGAACGGTTGCAATATGGAGGTGACCATCAAGTCCGAGAGTGCTAAACTGAACACAAAAGCATTTGGCAATGTTCTCATTGATTTCACTTTCAAGATAGTCCCAATTATGAGAATATTTCCCACGACTCCAATTACAAATAAAAGGGCTTCGTAAAACACATACGGCGTTAGGAATGTAAGATCGTGCCGTAACCTCTCAGATTCAATGAGAGATATTCCTTTCTCTTGAACCGTTTCATTACTATACCTCTGTGACATGTTTCCTTTGCCGGATGGATTTGTTTCACGATATGACGTTTTCTTTGTCGACTGGTTCCTTGCTTCAATAAATTTTTGATCTTTGTCAATGTCACCGTGTCTGGTATACACAATCTATTTCTCCACCACAGGATGGACGGTCTTCCGATAATGGTTTGTTTGTTTGTCTTCCGTAAATATAAGAAAGAAGTTATCGATTCTTACTCTTAGAGTTGTTAGATAATTCATTGTGAACTTTACGATGGTTCCTCTTATACTTTACAACGTCCATAGAATAAACGTGTTGATTAGTAGGGTCAGTTCAAACAATTCGCATGCCTATTTACTCTGAAAAGATCAACGCTTCAGATTGGAAGCATAACTTTTCAAAAAGTGTTATTTTTGACCACCCTACCGCCAATAGTTTTTTCATGCTCAACTTAAAGACTATATATATATAAAAAATAAGAAATTCTAAGAAAATTTCATTGTAGACTTTTGAGAAAAGGACACTTAGTAAAGCCATATTGATAACGGTTTATAATAAAAACACAAACTGATAATCAAATGCAAAAAGAAAGTTATATTTATGATCCCTCTCCCCATCGTCAGACAAACATGGGCAGAATCCCAAAATTACATTAGACCTAGGCATTAACATGCAAAATGCCACTACCTGTCTTTTGTTATAGCGCCAACCACCGAGCACCAACCGCCGAACACGGCCCAAAAATTGGAGAATATTACAATATGTCACCATTTGACATAAAAACGACAACTTTATGAGACGTAACAAGACAGATCTTGTTAAATATAAGCTATAAACACAGAAAGTGCCAAACCCAGACGACCAAAGGGCTTTACAAAGTAAGAAAAGGGAAATTGAAGAGTACAACAGGTGACAAGAAAACAACTCCCAACAACAATTTCTAACCTACTCAGAAATATTAGCCTTGCCCAAGTTGGTATTTTTTACTAATCTGATCTTGAATAATAGAAATCAAGATAAGTAAAAGAGACCGACTTAGGCAAGGCTACAGAAAGGTACAGTATCTAATGTCCCCTTCCACCATCCAGAAATCATTATCAATACAATCCAAAACTTCCACATCATTGGAAGTTGGTTGTAAATACCAACCCATAAAAGGAACATTCAGCCTCAAAAATGAGTGTCAAATGTTCACAAGTCAGTCGTGATATAGCTGAGTGAAAGACAATAGTTATGAGGCGGAAACTGGTTTCGATTCTTATTTTTATATCATAGCCTATATCGAAAAAAACTTAGTTACCGGGTCGAAAACACCAATCTCATGTTCCTCTGGTATTTGTCAGTAACAATAATCAATATTCAATATAAATGACAAGGCAAATCGCGTCAAATCCACCCTATGCAGAATGAGCCTGCAAAAAACACTGGGTGAGAATCAAGCGGTCATTTTTGAATTTGAAACTATGCCGTGTTTCGCGTAATTATATCCATATACAGTATAATGTATGCGTATTTGTACCTTATATAAATGAAACAGAGAAAAAATGTTGTTCATTGTACATGTTGTATAACAACATTGTGGGTATTTTTACTTCCCTCCTTCATATAGCTTTTGAACTTGTCATGTAGTATTGATGTTCAATGTTATCAATACAAATATCTTTGAAATGTAAAAGCCATATCCGTTGAGTAAGATTCTACAACAATAATGAGAGATTTTTAGATACGAGCCATCCCAAAATACACATTACAGGTTACACTTATTCAACTCGGAACTTAATTTATAATTTGAAGATATCGATCATGAAGTCTGTATATGGACTTGAGTCAAGATAAGAAAGACTTGAATCAAGAGAAACGTTTTACTATACCAATATAACGTATCGTGTTCAACTTTATGTTGGAGAGAGGTTTGCAAATTTGCATACTATATCGCTATAGAATGACTATTTTCACATTTCCTTACCATTTCGTGTCAAATTCTAATATTAGTATACGGATAAAGTTAAAAACCCAATACGACTTTAAAATATTACAAAGTCCAACAAATGACCGTTGCGTCCGCACCGAGGGCTCATTTTTCCACACCGGGTGATTTTTGCAGGCTCAGTTTGCACAGGGTGAAATTGTTCATCATACATGCCAAATCAATCATCTACCATACAACGAACCAAAATCTAACACAATACATGTAGTGAAAACTCATATACAAAATAATGCCATTACTCCGACATTAAAATAGGTGGATTACTTATATCTGTTAGTTTTCGGTCTTTTCGGACAAGTTAGACTCAACGTCATACCCAGTCAGAGAAATAATGATTGGATCCTTGTTTAATCGAAGTATCGATGTAAACGCCTTTACTATTTGCGCTCGAGGGGTACAATTGAGAGATAATGCAGCAATACAAACATCAATAATGAAGACGGTGATGTAAGTACAAGATCAACAGTCAGTGATCAACAGTCACTCAAATAACCAGTAAGTCAGTATCCCTACGGGAATGACGGAATAAAAAACAACACTATAATTATATGGAGTTTGATTAGGATATCCTAAATGATATCAATCAATTAAAGGAAATATGTCCGTGTGGTATGTGAACGAAACGGTTCCAGAGATGGGAATATCTTTCATTGAATCTGAAAGATTGCGCCAAGATCTAACATTCCTTACGCCATTTGTATTTTACGAAGCACTTTTATTAGTCTTTGGATTTGTGGGAAATGTTCTCATTATTGGTACTTTCCTGATGGTGAAATCAATGAGAACTTTACCGAATGCCTTTGTGCTTAGCTTAGCTATCTCGGACCTCATAGTGACCTCCGTACTCCAACCGCTTATGATGACCGTAGCACTGATGGGAGAACACTTCGTCCTGGTAGAGAGACCCGGTTTCTGTAACGTACTTTCATATGTCTGCTTTCAGAGTTGCATTTCTTCGTGCAGCAACATCATGCTGATCAGTCTCAATAGGTACATCTGTATCTGTAAGAACTCGTGGTATTCGAAGATTTACTCGAAGAAATCAGTCGCAGTTATGATCATGGCTGCCTGGTTCCATGGATTTGTGTGGAATGTGTTGCTATGGATTGGATGGAGCGGCGTTGGCTTTCAGAGAAAGTACTTTACTTGTTTGCATAACAACCACAAGGATTTTAGTTTCGTAATTGTATTTTCCGCGATTGTTCTTTTCATACCTGTAATTGTCACAGCTGTTGCGTATTTGAAGATTTTTCTGAAAGTGAGGGAATCCCAGAAGAAAATCCAGGCATTCGGTAAAAAGAAGGATAAGAATCAAGGCACCAGTAGTGATATAAGACTGGCTCGGATGCTGTTCATAATGTTCGCTATCTTTTGCACATTGTGTGCACCTTTCGCATTGATCAATCTGTGTGACTATTACGATGAAGCTCCATACTACTGGTACGTTATCTTCATACATATGTTTCACACCAATAGCGCGGTGAACTTCATCATATATGGCCTCACCAACAAGAGCTTTAGGACTGGCTATTCATTATTCTCTAAATATATACTAATCAAGGTATCCTGTGGGGCATACCAGCCGAGACAGAATGTAGAGAACGACATTGACAAAAGTCAACTGACACAAACAATGACAATTGCTACGACTGCACATAGTTAGCTCCAAGGGGAGAGGGGTATGTCGTGAGGTATCGGTGTGGAATGCCATCTATGTATTCATTGAGTTTGTACAATAATACTAATATGAGCAAATTCATGCATGTATTAAGGAAAATATAGCCTGTTGCAGGGGTTCACTTTTTGGACCACCCTGTATTTAATATGACTTGCCAGAAATAAACTGCTCAGAGGTCTGAACGTCTATTTTTACTTATAAGCATGAAATATTTCAATAATACTGCGAAAATAAGTAACCTTTATTGTTGATATTATTGTTTTGCACCAAATAAAGACAAGTAAAGTTAAAGGCTTTAACATCCAAAATGTCTGTCACCATCTGGCATTTCATTACAGACGCCGACCTCCGAACTCAGTCCACAAAAAGAGGGCAAAAAGTTTGAGACCATAGCAATGTTACCTCTCTGGGTGCTGGCATAAAAATGAATGATCCAAGCACACACTTATCATGAAGATGTGTTACAATAAGTGCACAATATTAGCGCACTATAGCATTTAGCATTCATAGGATGCAAAGCAAACAGTTGCATATCATCCCATGTAATAGTATTCCAGTATAATATTTTTTCAAGTACATTTGACTGCAGTTCATCAAAATATTGCAAAACTAAATCGCTTTGTTACATTTGACAGAATGAATTCAGTGTTTATTGTTAATGATTTATTTATCATATTTTATTAATATATATCTAATTTTTATACAATCGTGGAATTGAACAAATCAATCCTTACAGTTGTTTAAATACAATAGTAATTCTGTACATGTGCTTTGTTTCAATGTATAACAAATGTTCAAATATTTATTCTGTAAAAGGAATAAATACAATATCTTTTCAGAAACGTTTACAAAATCACAGAGCACATCGCACTGATTGGCACACAAAATTGTGGTTATTGGTTAGGTACATACACACACATACAGATAGCAGCTACCTTTTATTTCTGATGAAGAAACCTACATGGTGTCCATACAATCTTTTTACAATTACAAGACAAAGAAGTGTATACTTTATGGACAACCTGTATATATCTTGGCACACATTCATTTCTATAATTTAATAAGTAATTTTAGCTTAAAGCATAGCAAATCAGAAGACATTTACATGTACATAAGGTCACAGTTATCATATGAGAGTCTAATTGCACAAATATATTTTGATATATGTTAATTTAAGAGATAAACTTGTATAAAATATAATATACACAGTATGCTAAGATTACATGTGTAAAATGTTCTAACAGTTTAATGAAAGAAACTTTACTTTATCGTTTATAAAAAATAAGGCAAAATTGTGTAGATCTGAAATGCCTCAAATTTGTAAAAAGGAATAAATCAATAACTCATCTGGTAACAATAAGTACTCCAATAACATATAAGAATCCACAGATCACATGGATGTGACTTACAAAAGATCCAAGAGTTTTCAAAATAAAATCTGACCAGCTAACTCCTGTTATAACATATTCATAATTTAAGACATAATTCATCATTCTCTAAATAGTACTATATATAGTCAGACATAATCTGTAATCATTTAATATGTGCTTACTTTCTTAAGTAACTTATTTAAAACTTGATATTTATAATCTAGGAGATTTATAATAATCTGACGATCATTACTTCCTTAGTAACACACTTTGTGAGATTTCAGGAACATAACTGCGGGATATAGAATTGATATCCTGGGGAAGCAGGGCAATGAGGGCATATATCGTATGTCCCGCTGTATATGTACCACTGTGTATCTCCGGATGTTTAGTGCAAAAACAGTCATTTGCTGGAAATCTTGTTGCTATAGAGAAACTGTCAAAATTGATGCAGCAGATAGAAGAATTTTTTCTTGACCAAAATGTTGATGAATTTCTTGAAAACATTGAGATTTATATTATGTATATTGAGTATTTCGAAAACATACCTGGATGGGTGTCCTGAACACTTCACTTGTGAAACCTCACTTATCATATGAGTTAACTCCCATAACATAATCCTCATTTGTTTCAAGATCTTTCTGATCCTTAAACTCTAAGGATTTTGTTGAGATCAATTTATACCTATGTGTTCCATGCTAGGCAAGTATACATGTACAATTTATTCCAAGCAAACATAAGTGGTCTTCCCTGCCTCCCATGATGATTTTTACATGTATCATAACTTGTAAATTGATATATTCTTATATGTCTCTTTTACATAACATAAAATATGCATCATCAATTGTAACATTGGAATGTATTACTAGTTTCTCCAAATTGTGACATTAATACCAAATTTGGTAATCACTTTAGATAGCTATAGGAAGAGCTAGTGTAATCCGTAGCAGTGTCTGCAGTTGTATGGAGAATGCGGTGGAAATCTTCATCTGTGTTTGTCCATCCTGAATCCTGGAAAAGATCAAAGAAATGTAGGTTTAGTTTTGTAAAATTAATAGTTAGTGAGGTAATACCGAAAAATGTACCCGCTTCTGAACAAATTGAAATCACTTGTTTCTTATGTATTTTTATGTGATACTTCAGAAAATTTTTGTCTGATGCGCCGTATCTGGGGCGAAAGTTGTCAAAATTGGGTTTTTGACCCTAAAAAGGAAAATTACAGGGGGTACATTATCATCATTGAATAATTCATTCAGTTGGTCTTCAATCATCATAATAATTTTATCGAGAGTTGATGAGATCATTTTTAGGTAGTATGCAAAGTTTCAATGGTCTGTCACTCGTGGTTGCCATGGAAACCACAATTTTTGCAGAGAAAATCCTTAATTTTGGTAAAACCTGTACCTGTACATAATATAGAATGTGGATTATTTTTCAAATTAACAGATATCAGAACATTTTAGCATTTTCAAAATTACAAGGGCAGTTCAAACATTTATTTAAATATAAAGGATATTGCAATTAACATAACTGGGGAGTGTTAAAGACCATACAATTACATAAGTGATCAAAAGTGGGCGTCGCCCTTATCATAGTAGATGATTGTCATTCTCTAAAAATACAGAGTTTTACTTGACTTTTGAGATACATTTATAATGATGTTCTTTGGTTATACTAAATATGAAGCATTTTTGGTAAATAATGTACATGTAAGTGTTATACTTATTGCATTGGGGAGGGGGTAGATGGGGGGGGGGGGGGTAACAGAATTGGAAGAGGGCAAAGCTAATCACCCTTAAGTATAAATCTCATCTACATAGTTCTGGATTTCATAGGGTTCATCTTCTGGGTCTTCTTCACATTCATCTGAATCTATAGGATATTATAATTCTGCATGATTGGTAAGTATAAAGAGTCTTAAGACCATAGAATTACTCAAGTGATCAAAAGTGGGCGTCGCCCTTATAGATTCTCTCTCTATAAATACAGAGTCTAAGTTGACTTTTGAGATACATTTACATTACAACTTCTTTGATTATACTTAATTTCAAGCATTTCTGGTTAGTAATGCACATCTAATTGTAATAGTTCTTGCCTGGGGGAGGATGGGGGAGAGTAGTAACAGAATAGGGAGGGGGCAGAGGTAATCAGCTTTAAGTATAAATCTCATCTGCATAGTTCTGGATTTCATGGGGCACCTCCTCTGGGTCTTCTTCATATTCATCACAATATATGGGATATTACAATTTACAGGATTTGTCAAACACCATACAATTACATATTATAAACTATCAAAAGGAGTGTCACCCTAACAATAGTAGATGATTGGTTCTTTGTATAAATACAAAATTGAACTTGACTTTTGAGATACATTCATAGTTATACTGAACTGCTGTTATTATAATTTATGTCAAGCATTTCTGTGTAAGTATTATAGATTTTACATTTGGGCAGGGGTGAGTAGTAACAGAATTAGAATGTGTAGATCTAATCTGCCTTTAAGTATAAATCTCATCTTTTTAATTCTGGATTTCATAGGGTACATCTTCTGGGGTTTTCTGATTCATCTCCTGGTGTTGCTTTATCACCAATCTCTTGTATGAGAATATCAGTCAATACCCACTGGAATGATATGGAGTCATTTAGTTTCCATTCAAGTCCATCTGGTGGTTCACTACGAGGATTTGCAATATGGGCCATACAGACAATAAGTGCTTTATATGGATGAGATGGTTACAACAATCAGACAGTCATTCATTAGACCAACTTAGGAAAATTATCTAGAGATGAGATGAGTGTGACACCCATAACGACTTTGGAAAGGCACAAATAGCAAGTATAGAAGAAGACATAAAGATGACAAAAACCGCAATCAAAGACTTCCTTGATCCATTTACCATTGAGGATGAAGGTCATCTCTACGGTGTATCATAAGGAAAATCTGTGCCAAATGATGTCGCTGCAGATATCATCTAATTTTAGTCAAAAGGGGAAATTGCATGAAGAGATATTATCTGAGATTAGTTGAAAAAAGATTTCATGATCTAATAAAACATATGAAATTGAAAACTATAGCAGCAAACTACAGCAGCAACAGTGACAGTGACAGTAAAAAAGTACTCAGAACAAGCTTATACAAATACATTCTGAATGAAACATCTTTAAACAGCTTCGATCTTGCTTAAGAACATAAAATTAGCCTAGAATGTCTCCTGCAGTTCCTATTGAGCCCTGTACCTTGGGCTCTAGGAACACTGACTGGACTTCTTGCAAGAACAGAGAAACGCATCCATATGCATGAACATGTACCCACAAGTGCCAAAGGGAAAGGACCAAAATTTGTAATAGAACCCAGCAAGAAAAAGAAAACTTCTAAATGTATACAAGTCATAAGGAAAACAAACCCCAACTATCCCAAACCATAATTCAACTTGAAAGGTAGTTTTGTTTCTGGATCTGGCGGAGACTGTTTCAAGATTCTACAATTGCAGATTGATTCGTTTTTGTATGTGATAATTACATCAAAATTTCTATAAAAGAACCTGAAAGAGGGGAGGGACACCTTGCCCTATTTGAGGTAGAAAAACACGAGTCCCTAAAGATTGGAATTAGTTATTGTATGATGATGAAAACAAAAAGCAAATACAGCAAAGTGTGCTGCTGGATATTTGAGTTGGAAACAAATGAAGACTGATGTCAGTGGTATTTCCTCCAATATAGACCCTGACATATATGCAGCCTTCCTAGCACTTCACACATTCACAGATGAAGTGCCATGCAGAAGGGGCAATAGCAATAGCACCTTTTTAAAAGGCAAAGGTGGAGCGCCATATAGATACACTCAACTGAATGACTCTCAAATCTGCAAGTGTAGTGGTATATTCTTCCATATGATATTGTTAATATATTAACATCAGGAGGTGAATGAAAATGATCAGACTATGATATTAATACTTAAGACTGACTGGCCATTGGCTCTGCCCCCTCCCATTTCTGCTTCTACCCCCCTTGCCCCCCCCACAGGGAATAAATATTACAATACTAAATGTAATCAAAGAAGTTTTAATTTAAAAAATAAATCTTAAAGTCAAGTTAAACTCCATATTCATAGAGAATGAATTATCTACTATTGTTAGAGCAACACCCACTTTTGATCACTTATGTAATTGTATGGTCTTTGACACTTACCAATCATGTAAATTGGAATATCCCATATATTGAGATGAAGAAGACCCAGAAGTGAAGAAGACCCAGAAGATGCACCCCTTGAAATCCAGAACTAAATAAATGAGATTTACATTTAAGGCTTATTAGCTCTGCCCATTTCCAATTCTGTTACTCTTCCCCCCCCTCCTCCACCCCCAGACAATAACTATTACAATTAGATGTACATATATAACTTACCAGAAATGCTTGACATTAAGTATAAATCAAAGATGTTTTTAAGTAAATGTATTCAAAAGTCAAGTTAAACTCTGTATTTATAGAGAATGAACCATATACTATGATTAGGGCGACGCCCACTTTTGATCACATGTGTAATTCTATGGTCTTTGACACTTAAGAATCATGCAGAATTCTTATATCTTATATATTGAGATGAATATAATAAGACCCAGAAGCTGTACCCTATGAAATCTAGAACCATGTAGATGAGATTTACACTTAAGGCTGATAAGCTCTGCCCCCTCCCAATTCTGTTACTACCCCCCCCCTCCCCCTCCCCCCTGTATCCCCATGCAATAACTATAACACTTAGATGTAAAAATGCTTGATATTAAGTATAACCAAAGAAATTCAATATAAATGTATCTCAAAAGTCAAGTAAAACTCTGTATTTATAGAGAATGGCAATCAACTACTATTATGAGGGCGACGCCCACTTTTGACCACTTATGTAATTGTATGGTCTTTGACACTTACCAGTCATATAAATTGCAATATTCTTTCTCTTTAAACAAATGTTTGGACAGCCCTGGTGATTTTTACAGTGCTAAAATGTTCTGATATCTGTTGATTTGAAAAATAATCCACATTCTATATTATGTACAGGTACAGGTTTTACCAAAATTAAGGATTTTCTCAGCAAAAATTGTGGTTTCCATGGCAACCACGAGTGACAGACCATTGAAAGTTTGCATACTACCTTAAAATGATCTCATCAACTCTCAATAAAATCATTATGATGATTGAAGACTAACTGAATGAATTATTCAATGATGTTAATGTACCCCCTGTAATTTTCCTTTTTAGGGTCAAAAACCCAATTTTGACAACTTTCGCCCCGGATATGGCGCGTCAGACAAAACATTTCTGAAGTATCACATAAAAATACATTAGAAACAAGTAATTTCAATTTGTTCAGAAGCGGGTACATTTTTCGGTGCTACCTCACTACCTATAATTTCTGATTATTTAATGATGAGTCCTTTAAATTATGTCAAAGTGACTTTAAATGAATATCATAATACAACAAAAGTTTGCATACATTTGACACAGACTCTTTAAGTTATTACTCAGTAATTCAACACCCATTACTATTAAAAACATTTATGAGTGAAATACATGTACATGGCCTTTCTATTTTATGATTTGAGAAAATCAAAAATTCAAAAGAATAACAAATGCAATAATAACATGTTGGGAACTTTTGAGGATTTTGAATTCAAAAACTAATTATGCTGACTAAGCTTCGCTAAAAATCTCTTCATTTTGAGAAAAATTGAGCATATTTTCAAAGTTAAGATAATTGTGAGCAAAATCGGGTTGGTATTGACTGAAAGAACATCTCTGCTGTAAGAATAGCAGAGCTTGACTGAATAAGACTCAGCAGTGTTTACTAGTGCAAGTTTTAATGTAGTTTATTTACCTGAGAGGAGATCTCATCATCATAAATATCATGAAACCTGTGAAGCGTGCGTTTCCTTGGAGGCTCAGGTAAGACAGGTACGCCATCTATACTAGGATATCCCACTGACATTCCTGTATCATAGTTCAGATCAGAAACTGATAAAGTTTGACTCCTGTCTGCGTCATAATTCTGTTTGTTTGAGTTTGCGTGAACAGGAGATGAAAATACAAAGTCCTTTGAGTCAGAGTATACCTGTATTTTAGAATACGAATCTTGATTCAAAGTCTCATTTCTTTTTTCAATCTGATTTTTTACTTTCTTTGAGTATTTATCAAATGTTTTAGATCGCTGTTCTGATTTTTCTCTGAGATTATCAAATACTGAAGTCCTGTTAGAAATAGTTACTTGGTGGTCTGGTGATTTATTGTTTTGTATCAATCCACCATGAGATGGTGCACTATTCATTTGATTTGGTATTGTTGCACCATACAAAGTAGTCCCATTTCCATAAGACATCATTGTAGATGTGGTAGCTTTTGGTGTTGTAGTTTCATTAGTCATTCCATATATAGAAGTACCCCTACCATCTGTTTTGGCACTAGTACCATCAGTAGGGACACCAGTACCATTACTAGTGACACTAGTACCATTTGCTATAACTCTGCCTGAGTATGTGTTATGAGATAATCCTGATAAACCACCATAAGACAAGCTAGTTGATCTGACACTAGTTGGGGGAATCCTTGTATTGTAATCCCCTATGGCACTAGGGTTCAGCTGATTCCCCCCATAAGAGTTGGCTAGATGTCCATAAATGCTGCTATATTTAGGAGGGGAAGGTTTTGTGTATTTGTCCACTATTTCGTTCACTTTATTTTGTTGTTCCCGGGAAAGTTTTGACCTGGAATATAATAAATAAAATATAGTTATACTGTTATATGAAAAGTGATAACATGTGATTTTGAATGATATTACTATTATCACCAAGTTGATACCAATATCACTGTACAACTTTGCTAATTTCACCTGTGCTGATATTGATCTGAAGAAAAATCATAGAATATGGGATTTATCCCATTATCATTTCAAAAATGAATTTGAATTTATCTGGAACTTCTTTGAACACCCAGTATATTTTTCAAAAGGCAAAATTTAACATTTGCAGAGATTCTAACCATTTTTACCTGTTCTCTGGTGACACATGCTTCATTTCTTTCCAAGCCTCAGTCTTGGAAACTCTTAATCCTTCCTGGGTGCTCTTTTGTACTGGAGAACTTCCTGTTGATTGAGTAGTTCTCTCAATTGATCGATTACTTCTATTTGGGTTAGGCTCCATGTTGTAATGCTCTCTCCATCTTTGAGCAAAAGTTGTTTTTTGGCTTGTGGGAGACACATTTATATTCGATTTATTTGAGTTGTTTGGATCACTTTTAGATAAAGCATTCACTTGAAGTTTTATTCGAGTATTCTCGAGTTCATCATCTGACATGACGTCATAAATTGTGTCATCGTATGAATCATCATGCTGTGTGAGGAATGATGTACGTCTTGGCTTATAGTTCTTTTTATGTGGATAGATCTCCCGTTTGTTGTCATTATCTACAAACTCTTGCTCACGTCGTGGAACAGATGCTAATGATTTTGGTTGTGTTGCGCCTGACATTGACAAAGGTTTGTTATTGGTTGGCTGTGTTCTAGACACAGATGACTGTGGTCTTGTCATTCCAGGCCGTGATTTGGTCTTATTCGGTACAGTAGGACTACTTGTCATTAAAGGTTCTGCAAAAGTGATATCTTGAAAAGCAGATTGCTTTGTTGGTGAGCTAGAATATGATGTAACATTACTACCTGATGTTACTGATCTACTAGATATGGGATACTTTCCTTGTGAAGAGACAGGAGGTTGACTCAAGTCTTCAGGATTTTTTCCAGAACTTGCTGTTCCTGGATAGTCTGACTGTAGCCTAGAACTTGTTACTGCACTTTGGGTATGTCTATTGTTCAAGCCAAACGCATCTAACACCAGAGCTTTAATCCTATCTTTGTCTGCACCTCCTGTACTTGCCTTGGAGCCCAAACTGGCTACATACTTAGAGCCTCTCCCTGGTTCTGGCCCACTTTGTTTTATTTGGTCCAGCCAGTAATGTTTCTGCATAAACTGCACGCTAGTGCTGAGGTCCTTATATTTATCATGCAGTCCCTTTATATCTTCCTCTACCTTTGATGATTTAGGATCACTGTGGGGTGAGTGTGCAGCACTTGGAGGTATGTTAGATGATCGCAACCCACTAAGTTCCTGAAAGGCAATATTTAGAAAATACATTAAAGTAGACCGATCTTAATAGTCTTAATTAACATCATGGACTAAATTGAACAATGTTGGACCTGTGTGTCCATGCCATTTCTAGTTATTACCCAAGTCTGCGTCCAAATTGCAAGTACTTAGCCATTTTACTTGCTATATTAAATAATATGAACTTTTTCAAGGTGTCTCTGCAAAAGCATTTGTTATTTGATTTGTGAAAACAATCCATGGAACATTAAAGTTGTGGAATTTTTAATATCAGTTGTAGAGGATTAACACACACTGTCTCACCATGAGCATGCATTATTTCACTTCTGTTTGCAAAACACTGAAGTCATTGTTGCTTACCTTTCTAAGCGCATCTCTCTCCTGATTAGCTACAGTGAGTCTCTGCACAAGATAGGAATTATCCTGAATTAGCTTATTGGGCTCGAGTTCCAGTGTTTTAATTGTGCTATGCAGAGTTCCCTTGGTCTCATTTAACATTTCATTCAATTTCACCTTTTCCTGATCGGAATATTCCAGGGTTTCATTTAATCCTTGGACTTTGGCTTCAAGTGTATCAATTTCATCATTTTTCTTAACAAGTTCTGCTTTCATGGACTGATTCTCAATTTTGAATCTTGATTGTTCCTCCTTTGAGGTGTCTAATAAGGTTGACACTCCACTTACAGTTTTTGTAAGTTGCTCGTTAGCGGCCGTTAGCTTCCTTTGTAAGATCTCATTTTCGACCTGCAGGCTTGCCATATCACGTTTCAGCCATGTCACTTCATCTGAGTCATTTCTTATGTCAGCTCTTGTCTGAACTATGGGCTCATTCCCATTTTCTGTTTGGTCTCTAACATGTTGTGAAGTGTGATTTGAGTCACTCCTATGTTCTGAGTATCCATTTGTTTGATCTGTTTCTGATACAATATTTGTATTCCCAACATTTGTTGTTTCTGACATAGATGTGTTAGTTTCTTGATCTGAGGTAAGAGTCATCTCTGTTTGAACCTGAATGTTTTCAACATGTTGGCCAAAACTTGTTTGTACATTTTCATCAAACATTGGAGCACTTGTGTCTGTCTGTGTTTCACTTGTGATAAGGTCCAGGTCTGTTATCATTGACTGGTCTTTATATGCTTTACCTTCCCTGGTTATTCTCTCTTTCTCAAACACATCAACCTTTTCTTGGAGATCCTTTATTGTGGCTTTGTATTCTTCAATCAATTGTACATTCTTTGCATTGACTGATTTTAATGTGTTAACTTCCTTATAAAAACTAGAGTTTTCATTTCTTAATGTACTGACTTCATCTGCGAGTTTGTTCACAATTTCTGCATTGTTTTCAGAAATAGTTGAGCTCGATGCTAGTTGATTTTTCTGCACAACAGTCTCCAACTCCTCCTTTAATTGATTTTCATTAACTTTAGACATAGCAACTTCAGTTTTCAACAAAACACCTTGGGCTCCAATGATGTCAAGGAGATCAAGTAGTTCATCCCGTACAGGTGGGCAATCACCTTCAAACTCCTCTATAAGGACATCTTGTTCCTTAGTGTCACCCTGCTCTTGTTTCTCGAGAGCATTAACATGGTCAAGAAACTTAACAACCATTTCATCACTAAGTTCATCAGGTGGCATTTCCTTTTTGAGATCTTCTGTATTCAATCTCATATACTTCTGTAATTCACTACTTGTTTTCTCAAGCTCATCCTTATTACTATCATATAATCCATAAGCTTTTGGTGATGTTCGTTTTGACGTGATTTTTTCACTGTTCACAGTCTTTGAATAAACCTCTCCGATGTTGACATGAGTATCTGTATATTTGGAAGGACTTGTGCTTTGACCCTGGCTATATCTAGATAAGCCTGAGTTTGAAGATGGACTATATTTTATAGGACTTGTGCTTTGAGACTGGCTGTATTTGAATGGGCTTGTGCTCGTTGACTGACTATACTTTGATGGACTGGTGTTTTGTGATTGACTATACTTAAAAGGCTTTGTATAAGATGAATGACTATATTTTGAAGGACTGGAATTTTGCTGGTGATTAAACGGATTTGGCAGGAATTTTGAATATTGCATGGTCATTCGTAAATGTTCTGGAATGCCATTAGTATCAGTTTCTCTTTCATAGTCATCAAGAGTATACTGATGTTCAGTTTGCTCAATTTGGGCATCTTGCTGTTGATGTCCAGGTTTAAGGTCAGCACCATTGTCCATGTTGCCACTGTGTTCATCACTATGATGTTCTGCTTCAATGTGTTTATGGCAATTCTCAACAACCTTGCTTTGACTATAGTTAACATTGTGGTGATCAGTTTTAGCTTCAATATTTCCATGCATATCTTCTGGCGTTGCACGATGGTCATCTTCATATTGATCTTTGTTGGTAATATCTTCCTCATAGCTATCTTCATAAGATAGTGATCCGCTATTAGAAAGAGATCCATCAAGGTCCAGATGATGAGTCACAGCATCACGAATAGTGTCTGACATTTCAACAGTGACATCATCGATGGCATCCTCATTATCATCGACATCATAATCAAAGTCATTCATTGAATCACGTAGCAAAAGTGAGCCTGCGGATGACTCAAACCATTGCGACGTGGCTTCAGAGCGCAATGAGCTCAACATACTCTCTGGACGGATAGGTGGCGCTGACTCAACAGATGCCTGATCATCATCTAAAGATTCATAAATATTTTCATCACGATCGTGACCTTTTTGAGTTTGTCTATAAGTAGTAAAATCTTCATGATTGTTCCTCTTGTTATCTTCTACACTGTCTTTGAGATCATTTTTATGGTATGGAATTTCCTCGTATAAAGGCTCAGAACCTGTAGTATTATTTGGCATTTCCTGATTGACATTCTCATAGAGATCACTTTGTGAGTGATGAATTTCTTCATAGTGGTGAGGCTCAAAATGGACCCGATTTTCCCGAAATCTTGAGTCGTGAGGCACTTCATATCCATCGTTCTCAACATCACACATTTCGCTAAATTCAATAATTTTAGAGTTATCCTCTGAGTCACTTTCTGTATTGTCATTTTCAATATGTTTCTCAGGGCTGTCATAAGCTTGAATAAGTTGAAATCCACTCGATTTTTGGGCTTTTATACATGGGTCCTCATCAAAGAGGTTTCCATCACTTTTAGATTTCATGGATGCACAGCTGATGTTATCATCTGTATCTGATTTTGATTTTAAAGACTGAATATTTAAGTTATCTCCAATATTGTATTGAGAGAATCTATCAGAGGCTACAGCTAATATTGATGAAGATGTGTCATCTTTTTGCTCCATTAATTGGCTGGATGTGTTGATATTGTTGTAACTTATTTCAAATTCAGATGGCGAGTCCAATGAGATATCATCTATGTTTAGTTTATGAGAATTCAAGGGGTCTTTGATTTGTACATCATATGAGTCTTGAATCGATTGCACTGATTGGTCAAACTTTGGTGTTGCATTGTGGGAATCTGTTGCTTGCTTTCTTTCATCCAATGAAACATCCTGAAAATATTATGATAATATGTCAAATTAATATAATACAAAATAGTTCACACCATGTGAGCTAAAAAAGGTCATTGAACGGGAGCTTACACTTAAATTAATCATTGTACAAAATCAAAATTATGAATTTCTCTTTGACCACTCTGAATGGCAGGACAATACAACATTAGCATCTTAAACGATATTTGTATTTGACTGGACTGTACCCAGTGGCATTTATGTCCAGGAAAATCTCAAAAGGTCAGAAAAGATGTTAGTCCAAGTTGGCTCTGCTATTAACTTACACATTCATTTTTATATTACAATTTCAATTTATAAATGTATCTAATCATATTTATGTTTACAGATATTATTGATGATAGGTGGCATCACAAGTGATGCTTATAGTGGTACATACATGTATGATAGTAAATCATGTAGCAAATCAATCTAAAATGTCAAGGAATTGAACCGGAATGAAATCACAAAAATAAATTTGAGGGATGTGAGGGATGCATGATGTTCATTATTCTAAAGTGAAGAAGGTGCCATATTTCTAGTACTAACTTTATATGTAGCAGCACTTAAGCTGGAGATAGTGTCCTGCTTCACCTTCTGGAAAATCTTCAGTTGTTCCTCTAGAAGCTGAAATGTAGTATAACTGTAAATTAAAGAAAATTCTTTTTTAAATTGGCACTCTTTGAATGTAAAATGGCAAAATTATTTAGAGATAAAATACTAGGGACACTCAGCAGCGATACAGGGTTAATGTTTCATTATGACGTTGTATTTTGTTATTTTGTAACTTTGTTTTTAACACCTTATTAGTTACGTAATGTGTATACATGATCATAAGATGAACCAGAACTACAAATTATAAATAAATATCAACCCGAACTAGAAATATATTCCATTACTTTTATGGCTGTGTCAGACTCTGCCTTTTTCCTTAGAAGATCATCAACAGATGGCGCTCCACCTCCCTCTGTTGACCAATCAGATAGCCCCGTATCATTCAGCCCCTCCGTCTGAGAAATAAAATTGGATGAATTTAATTATTATATTAAAGTAGACTTCATCAAATAAAGTACGGATAATATAACAATGCCATAGTAATGGAAATTAATCCACAAGTAAAAATAGAATTCAATTAAGCTATGTTGATTTGTATGACAAGACATTTCCTATCTCTGTTTTATTTCTTAAAACAAATAGCTGATTACAATAACTCATCAAAATGAGCTGAAATGACAGAAATTCCTATCTCATCAAATCTTCAGGATGAAATGACAATTTTAAACTCATATCTCCAACTAACATTATTTCTTATACAATCAGTCCTTTACAATACATGAATAGTGTTCTTTTTATGAGAAAATGAGATATAAAACTACAAAGGGCAACATTGGAGAAATCAAAATATGGCTAAAATCAAAAACCACAAGTAACTGAAACTGATATAAATCCTTACCTGTACAGAGGAGGCGCTAGAAGTATACCAACTCATCCCAGAATTTGTGAGGTCACCTGTAGGAAATCTACCACAATGCACCTTGTGACGTAATGCACTTAGGTATATCAGTAAACCATGTTCATCAATTGTCCCCTCTATGACAGCATGATTACTGGAAAATAAAGTGTATAATTGTGTGAGTCAGTTGTAACACAATTTGAAGCACATGCATTATGTTTTACTTAAAACAGTACATATAACACAATGAAATTGAATTAAGAACAACATACACAGTACCTGATAATATTCTTCCTTATTCCAAATTTCTGCTCAGCCAATAGTAAAACTCCCTCTAGATCTGTTACGTCAACCTAAACATTAAAAACATGTTTTTCTCATTTTCACCTTTTTAGCAAAAATCTTATTAAATCATATTTTCATTAGCAATTTATCTACATGCATCATACATGTTGAAATACTGTCATATCAATGATATATCTACGACTCATTTCTAACATGAAGTAGATCATGTCAGTATGAAGATAGGATTCTATCTGCCCTTTTCAAGAGTTTGATTGTGTATCTTTAAAGGATTGTTTAAGATCTTTATTTTTTAAATTGCTTTATTTGTCAAAAAACAGGGAATACAGTGATTAATACAAGAGGTATAAATAAAATTTTAAATAAGAGATTCATAAACACTGAAAATGTCTACATTTGGAATTTTTATCTAATTAGCATCAAAACTGTAAAAATGCCTATCCTTGTCAGAGTTTGGTAATCACTTGGCCTAAGGGTAGTTTCTTACAAGAATGCTGCACAAAGTGAATCTAAAACCATGCAGTTAGTCTTGCTTCAAGACCCTGGATCTACTTTACAGCTGTCAAGTTAAAGTAGATAAGGGGGAGGGGGTCCAGGGTCTTAAAGCAAGACTAATACAAATTCAATTAATAAAGAAATGAAGGCTCTTATGCCAGTTCTGAATACACAGCCTAATTGTAATTACTTTCACTGGTAGGGTACCTAGTGCCTTGATTAGTTGATTTCACTCTATAGTGTCTATAGCATCAAGAAAATGAAGCTTAATCTCTTATATATTGATCTTGGTAATACATGATCTTATAACACAGGCATCATGTAAGCATTGAAGATATCGTGTAATGTGCAAGTAAAATCCTCATTGTAATCTCGCTAAACAATACTAAAACTAATCTGCATTCTGGTTGTAGACACCTATGGGTTATATGTAACGGGGTCAACCCAGTTGTCCGAAACCCAGTTGTCCGAAACCCAGTTTTCCGAAACCCAGTTGTCCGAAACCCAGTTGTCCGAAACCCAGTTGTCCGAAACCCAGTTGTCCGAAACCCAGTTCTCCGAAACCCAGTTCTCCGAAAATTAAAAAATTAAATGTCTTAGCGGTAACGAATCTTGTCGCAACTTCGCGAATCAGGACAGCATAACATTGGTATCACGTTGACATCGGTTAGCCCGGTCAATAATGGGTCCGAAAGTTCACGATCATATATATTCTTACTAGATTCTCGGCACATAGACTTATATGGACATTCTACAAATTTTGAACCGCATTGTCCAGCACGAATCGCACTCCTTCTTGGTGAAAATTCAAGACTGCCGCCAACATTTTAGACAATTATCACAGTCGAAGAGAATATTCTGGCGAAAGGAATATCTATCTCATTCGAATAACGTATGGACGTCCGTGACAATTATATATATTCATTTGATAATTTTTTCATTCCCTTTTCTCAATAAAATATGGTTAATTATGTTTTCCAATATCAATTGATAATATTTCTACCCTGAAAAATATCTAAAAAGAAGATTTTGGTTGTTCAGTACCACCCATTGTTAAGATTTCGTCCAAATTTTCGATAAATCAATAAAATATGCTCATTTCGTATAACTTATATATGTGGCATATATATATACATATCAGATGTCTATCCTTTTTTCATCATAATATAAGAGGTCTGTATGTTTTAGTAGAAACGTATTCCTTTCCAAACATTTAGATTTAAGAATTTCTCCCATTGGTGATATTGTTCAAAATCAAAACTGTGTTTTTGCGATATATTGAACTGTTGAAGTAAGTGTGTAATAGTTTGTAGTAGAGCCAAGATTTGATCTGTATCATGTACGCGTACGTACCCTGCATAAAAAATTCATTTTTAGTGTGCCATAGATGTCAACCATTAACTATTGCAGAATCATTGAAAAAGTTTTGTGAAAAATTAAGATAATGTTTCAAAATTATACACCGGACAATAAATAACTATACTCAATGCAGACAGGGAGTTTTAATTGCCCAAAAACTGAGTATCAAAATGCATTTGTATCTCTTTAGTATCTTGCATGACTCGTTCATATGAATTCTTTATTTCTACCTCGTTCCCAATACATTCTGAGACAGTTCAACCTTTGCCCCACGTCGCCACGCGGTCCTAACTTCGACCGTTAATTTGAATTTTTGACCTACCGGATATTTGAAAATCAATTACGAGTCTCATACTGCACCGTTTTTCTTCAAACTTGTTCCATTCAAAGCATGACAAAAATCTCTTTCTGATGGTACGTTATTATCTTAAACAGAGTTCCTACTTCCAGCGTAATTTTGGTCCCCAGCTGTAAGAAGGCCTTCTAACAGCTGGGGAGTGGGGACCAAAACGCTGCTAGAACGAGGGACTCTTTACAATAAAGTAATGCACTGACAGAAGTGCAATTTTGTTTTGCTTTTAATGGTATAATGGAAGAAAAACGGTGCAGTATGAGACTCGCAATTATCCTTGATTTTCAAGCATCTGGTAGGTCAAAAATTCCAATTAACGGTCGAAGACCGCGTGATTGCAGAAAGTCAGAGACAGCACTCCTTTTTTCTTTTTAAATCATGTATATATTTCTTATTTTATAACTTTGTATACATCAGGTCATTTTACAATATTGCAATATTTTTTTTAAATAGATACAATTGCAATTATTTAAAACATTATTACAATAGTTTACAAATATAATGTAACATAAGTTGTTTAACAATTCATCAAAATAAGTATACTTAGTGTCTTGTACCTTATAGCCAAAGACAAGAGTTTTATACTTTTTCAAGCTTAATTCAATTTTAAAATCATCTTAAATATAATTTTCAAGTGGGTCTATTACATTAGTAGGCCTACTCTATGATATTGAAAGAACAAATGTTTATAGTATTCTCAGGCCCGTAGCCAGGGGGGGGGGGGGTTGGCAGGGTTCGGGCGAACCCCCCCCCCCTGGCAAAAAATTCTTTCAAAATCATGCAGTTTTTCACCATTTTTAGCACTTTTAAAGTGATTTTGACCATATTTGGGCCTAAATTGTCAAATGTGCGAATTTTTGAAAACTGAACCCCCCCCCTTGGAAAATCCTGGCTACGGGCCTGATTCTACTTGTCTGAAAATATCACACTTGTCATTAACAATTAGTTTCCATCATGATCTTAGGAGTCACTGGCGAACCCAGAAAAAAGCCTAAAAAGGCCCTTTTGGTCAATACTGGGCCTTTTAAGGCCTTATTTTTCAATTTCAGGCCAAATTTTTAAGAAAACGGTCCTCAAAATTTCAAAATTTTGGCCAACTTTTGGGTTTTAGGGAAGTTTTTTCTCTGACCTGAATTTGCCCCCCTTGTTTGTTCCCAGATCCGCCCCTGGAAGTAATTGTTTGCATGGTAGAATGTAATGTAAAAGTTTGTATTTGAAATTGGCCACTTTTTATTTTTGGATTGCTTTAAAAGAATCCAAGTATGTTGAAACAGCATTTGACTATTTTGAATTTCACAAAGATTAATTCAAAATGATTCCAAATATGTTTAGTTGCTATAAGTTACAGCAAGATTGAATATATGTCTCTAGGACTTGCATGTTTATCCAAAAATCTATAATGCTTCAATTTACAGTCATAAAACCTTAAACTTACATTTGTATTAACATATATACGTACATCTGCTTGCCTCACTAAATATTTTAACTATATATTGAAATGGCAAAGATTGCTTAACGGTTATATATTCTGCCATCCGTTTGACCCTAGATTTGAGCTTCAGACCCTATATTTAAGGGGTCAGTACCCGGTGTTTGTAACAAATGGCAGGCTGTAACAATGTAAATGTTAATGCCTTAATCGTTAATGGATGAAGTGGGATGGGAGGTATCCCACTTATAGAGGTCCATTTAACATTAATGAGTTGGTCTTGGCACTCTGAAATGTTCCACTTGACATATTTCACTCCAATCCATCTAGCTCTATGAACGAGCACTCTTTCATTGGTAAAGGGTGTATTTGAGAGTAAGATCAACTGAACGATTCCTCCATGGGCTAGTATTTAGCCTAATAAAAACTGTCGAAAGATGAAAATACAGGTGATACAGATCTTCAAATACACAAAGTTAAATTATGCTATTCTCATTGCAAAGTGGCGTTTACATATTAACATACATAGGGGTCTACAATTTTTAAACCAATTTTCTTTATGCCCCATGGGGCTTTTTGAGAGGGAACAACATTTTTCCAATGCGTGATGGGCGTTCATAAAAGGGAAATAGTTTTCCCAAGCCAGTGGGCATTTATTTAGTAAAGTTGACGTCGTGTACATCTTTTGAAACCAAAAATTATTCTTCATTTAGGTACTCTGTTCGAGAAATAGAGATTAAATTCAAAAAGATGAAGTGAGTACATGGCGAAAATGAAACTTCTTGCGAATGGGAGAACATCCAATTTGATACGAGGACAGCCTGTCTTCGTTTCCAGTTAATCCCAAGTGATTACGTTTAGAATGTTTTGTTCTTTTACATTTTACGGTTTGATAAGAGACAGAGACTAGGAAATTAAATGCGACGAAACATTTTGACAACGTAATATGTGTACTATTTTTTCTTAAAGTTTTATGCGTTAACTTATTTTATCGGTTTCAAAATGTTTCATTTTATTTTGCCTATATAAAATGTATTGAATAAGATAAGATCAACTGTTCCGTAATATACATTGTGTTTTGATGACCTTTTTTAGAATCACAATGTAAAATAAATCCCCCGTTCCTGTCATTCTGGTAACGCCGTGTAATGGATGCAATTCAAAGTGAGAGAGAGATCTATACATCAGAATGCGTCCATGCCATTAATTTTGCCAAATACATGACATGAAACTGGCTTGAGGTGCGTCCCCTTTTATCTGGTAAATTATGACTGGGTTTCGGAGAACTGGGTTTCGGAGAACTGGGTTTCGGAGAACTGGGTTTCGGACAACTGGGTTTCGGACAACTGGGTTTCGGACAACTGGGTTTCGGACAACTGGGGTGCACCCATATGTAACAAAAGAGTGGACTGGTTGAAATTAGTGAGTGAAATAACAATGAGCCGTTACTGAGAACATTGATTACTTTTACTCATGATTTCCAAATAAGCAAGTCTAATCCTGCAGTTGCTATGGCAATACAGAGACCATGACTTTCTATGTGATTAATTTACAAAACATTTTGCATTTTCTAATTGTGTAGAGACTCTTTGAATATTGTCCCAAAAGTATTTCAATTTGTTTTTCTGTTTTTTATATGCTAGATGGCAGTACTTCTAAATTGGAATCAAAACATTACTTTTGTCATATTAGTCTCATTTTTCCTCTGAAACTGCAGAATTGGCCCTGTTCACTTGCAAAATTCACAAGCAAAATTTCCCAGCAACACATGCAGTAGAAGTGACTTAACAATGTAAGATGAAACCTCTTACTATTCCTTATGTCCTTGTTCTGCATGTCATCATGTAGATCTTCTAAAATAGTTAAAACCCAAACATCCGAAATACCCAAAATACCAAATACCCAAAATCCGTAAGAATGAAAAATCATTTCTTACCTTATGATCACCAGAGCAAGAATTGAGAATCAGCTTCTGTAAGCGGTCATTCTGACAGAGGCTGTAATAAGATTAATAGAATAACAAATCAATAATTTATAGCATTCTTTTCAGCTAACTGATTTTCCCCTCCAATATAATTCACTGCTCATAATTAGGATGTTGGGTGAATTGAATTGAATGAGAAAATAGAAATGTGGAGTAGATAGTTTAGTGGAGTTACTTTATTATGGGTGTACATTGAATTGAATTGATTATTTTTGAGAAAAATGGATATGTGGAGTTGATCGTTTAGTGGCATAACTTTATTATAAAAGTTGTATTTTTCAGAATACCATGTCCATATGTACAGTAAAACTTGTGAAGTGGAACGCCTCCAATGGTGGAACACTTTTTGAGGTCATGTTACTTATTTCCTTGAGGAGAGAATCAGATTTGACAAGCAAGCTCAACAAAAAAATGATAAAATGTCGCGGATATTTTGGAAGACAGACTTGCCAACCTAAAATGAAAAATTTTCGGGAGATTTAAAAAAAATTGCGGTACTTTTACGGGAGTTTTTTTCAAAATCCGGTAGTTTTTGCGGGAGTTTTTTTGAAAAAAACGGGAGTTTTTACGGGAGATTTTTGAAAAAAACAATAGTTTTTACGGGAGATTAAAAAAAGGGGTTTTTACGGGAGATTTTTTAAAAAAGGTATTTTTCGCGGTATATTTTAAAAAACTTGACTTTTTTACGGAAGATTTCAGAAAAAACGGGAGTTTTTGCAGTAGGTTCTGAAAAAACAGGAGTTTTTGCGGTAGATTTTTAAAAAAAACGGGAGTTTTTACGGTAGATTTCTGAAAAAACTGGAGTTTTTACGGTAGATTTCTGAAAAACGGGAGTTTTTAAGGTAGATTCTGAAAAACGGGAGTTTTTACGGTAGATTCTGAAAAAAACGGGAGTTTTTATGGTAGATTTCGGAAAAATGGGAGTTTATACGGTAGATTTCTGAAAAACGGGAGTTTTTACGGTAGATTTTGAAAAAACAGGAGTTTTTACAGTATATTTCTGAAAAAACGGGAGTTTTTACTTTAGATTTTGAAAAAACGGGAGTTTTTACGGTAGATTTTGAAAGAATGGGAGTTTTTACGGTAGATTTTGGAAAAAACGGGAGTTTTTACAGTAGATTTCGGAAAAACGGGAGTTCTTACAGTAGGTTTCTGAAAAAACGGGTGTTTTTACGTTAGATTTTGAAAAAAACAGGAGTTTTTACTTTAGATTTTGAAAAAACTGGGATTTTACGGTATGCTAAGGGCAATCTGCGTGAGGTTCCACTTTTAGGTTCGGTTTTTCGTGCATGAGCATTAAATCCAGCGATTTAATTGGTTGAAATTATTATGACGCATGCGCAGTTAATAAATTAATCAGAACTTATAATCTAAGATAGATGTCACTTATGTTTATTATACATTAAACAAAAAATTTACGGGAGATTCCCGTAAAAAAACGGAAGGTTGGCAAGTCTGGAAGATATCGTATTTGAGAGCATTGTTTGCAATTTTGTCATCCCAATAGATCTGATTCTACCATTAATGTAAAAAATGAACCTCTGTGAATGAAACATTATTCTGAGGTACCAAATGTGTTCCACTTAATAATATACAGGTTTTACTGTATATAATATAACTGAGTATGCCATTTTCTTTAATTAATATACTACATTAATTATTCATAAAAAAATATAAATGTATTAACAGTACTGTCAACCCCCAAAGATTTTCTCACGGGACAGATTTTTTAGACCCAGTGACCAAAATTCGCGGGATTTTGCGGGACATCTAATAAATTCGCGGGATTTCGCGGGACATTTAAGGGATTTGCGTGATTGCGCTTATAGGCCAATTTTTTTTTATCAAATTCGCGGGATTTTGCGGGACCATTCGAGGGACAAACACCCTAATTGCAGGACAGTTAACAGGTTTACCAGCAAAAACTTCATAGAGGGACAGATTTTCTAGAAAAAGTGCCCTAAATTTGCGGGATTTCGCGGGACATCCACCTAAATTTGCAGGATGTCCCGGGACATTCAAGGGATTTGCGTGATTTCGACTAATGTAAAAGCGTGTAAAAGTACTTAAATCAAACTTTCAGATACTGATTAATCAAATATAATGCACTGTTACATTGTAACTTAAATAAACGTGAACATAACTTCACAAAATACGCATAGAAATATTATTTCAATTGAATGCCCATGGTATAGGGTTTCGATTAATCTACATCAAATTATAGGGAATGAGGTTACTTTTCTAGATAGGGTTTGTAGAAAAAACCGGGTACCGGGTAGTAAATCCTCAATGCTGGGTTCAAACTTCCTTCAAAATTGAGATAGAAGCTTCAAATAAAAAGCATTTTAAGCCTCTTTTCTTCCTCTATCATCATGGTCATATTTCCATTGGTAATGAAGGGGGAGGGGGGGGGGGGGTGCGATCGCACCATCACACCCTCTCCTGGCTACGCCAATGACATTGTAAGACGATTTGAATAACAAGGCAAATCAATTTTACTCTATTTTCAATAGTTCGTATGTTGGTACGTGAATTGTTTTGATTATGATTTAAATCTGTAAATTGCTATCGTTGCTTTAGCAGAGAGGTGACGTGTGTTAATTTACATGATGCAATGTGTAAGATTTTGATTATTAATCATAATTTAAGTTATCCCAAAGTGTCGACAAAATGTCCACTGAATTGTCCACTAAATTGTTATGTCTTACAATGTCATAGGCGTAGCCAGGAGAGGGTGCGATCGCACCCCCCCCCCCATAACCAATGAAAATATGGTCATGACGATAGAGGAAGAAAAGAGCCTTAAAATATGCTTTTTATTTGAAGCTTCTAGCTCAATTTTGAAGGATGTTACACACATTTTTGTAAATTCAAAACAAATCTTACACGTTTTCTGATAATCTAATTATGTTATACTCGTATATTCGTATATTTTTTGTTTTTGGGTACCCGTTTTTTGATGGGGTACCGGGTACCAAGTTTGAACCCAGCATGGAGGATTTACTACCCGGTACCCGGTTTTTTCTACAAACCCTTTCTAGATATCAGCGTCCATTTATTGTAACTCGCGTTTGCTAACATTTGCTCAGTTCTGAGATGAAGGCCACACGGATAGTAAAAAGGCCAACGTTGGAACTATTTGTGACCTACATCCCTATTGTCGTAATTAAAATTAAAGTTGAACCCTCCTCATTATTTTGATACCAAACAGCAGCATGCTAGGTACTTAAAATTAGGTAAACTTTACTCCTCAAAAGTGCACTGAAAACTTAGCTTCTTATATAAGATTAGATAATCACAATATAGGGGATTGCAACAATTTCGGAAATTCGCGGAGGTCGAAAGCCACATTTGCGGGACTTCGCGGGACATTGCGGGACACGCGAATTAGCCTAATTTTGATCGAATTCGCGGGATAATCCCGCCATTCGCGGGACACTTGACAGCTCTGTATTAATCAAACCTACTTTTGCTAATCAAACCTACTTTTGCACTCAAATGAACAATTCATACAAGTAATGTTCCAACCTACTTTTGCACTAGGCTATCATGATTGTCCAATGAATCATGAGGTAAGAATAATTGACACCAGTCCAGCAATAACTTTCGCCCAATCCGAACTGTTCTTTGTTCACCACTACGCTCTGGAAAATCAAAAATCCCATATAAATAACTAATTCTTATCTATCCTGCATGTACTTTAATTCGCACTTAGTGACAAACTAATAAGCAGTTTTTCCATGAGCGTACATGTACATGTATTTACTAACAGTATAATGAAATAATTAACAATTTTTTATTGTCATGTTGTGGTTTTGCTTGCCAACTATTTACTGTTTAAAACAGCAACATATTGCATTTAGTGATTCAGATATACCTCTGGGGTTAATAAATTTACTATGTGAAAATATTTACACTGTGGCTACAGTATAGGAAAAATAGGTACAGATGATATCACTTAGTTTTAGTATGAGAAGCTTCAGTAAAACTTTGTCGAGGCTGATGCCTTTCACCTTCATCATAGCCAGCTAAGGCCAAGGTGCTCGTAAGATATATGTATAGTGAAACCTGTATATCTAAACACTTCTCTCATCCCTACACCTCTCAATGTGAACTCTTTTTCTCAGTCCCAAATTTCATATCTCCCATTGACTTACATGTTGAAAAACGCTTGAAATGTGAACACCTACTAATCTGAACACTTTTGGCTGGTCAAAGAGGCGTTTGAATAAGACAGGTTTTACTGTATCTATAAATCGTATGTCAGTCAATTACCTGGTGTGTGTATGGAGAAGTTGAGGATTATAGCCCAGAGAACATCAAGGAATGACTTGGCGTCTCCGTTGTATAAATCTGAAATGCAATAAGCCTCAATAGAGTGCATGATTTATACCATATATGGGAATATTCTGAGACATTCTTCGATTCTATGAGACATACCTATGAATGCTTAATGCAAAAAAGTTTTTTGAAATGATGTGATGATAAAAATGTATTCTGCCTGGATTAACTCAATTATACATTATTAATACAATAAGCCTTACATTAGAAATTGCAAAAAAGAAAATTAAAGGTTTTAAAAATTAGTTTGTGTTTGGTGTCCTTTACAAATGAAAGTGCAGGATAGGACCTTTATATAATATATATTCATACAAGTAGCATTTTATTGTACGATATTTTAAAAGATACACTGCCTACATCCTGTAAAAGTTAGTTAAACGTGTTAGTTTATGTAATTCTTATTGATTCAGATTAAAAGGTTTGATTTGTTGATAATATGACAAAATATATATTTAAATTAATAATCATCTAGTATTCATATAGTGTTGATTTGGGGTTAAAAATTCCCATAAGTTACTGTATGTTCAAACGTGTGCCCCTGAACATAACACAATAAACCTACCATATAATGATTATATAAAGCATGATATTCATTCAGAAAAATACTTCATGAGGAAAATATTGAATCTATCTGACAAGCTCATATTTAATTCTCTTTGTTCAATAAAAGGCACATCTTGTATGTAACAAAACAGTATTTAAACACAGAAACATCCTACTCCCACTGGCATGTAGCGGCCCTGATATCGATAAATTCTACACGCAATATAACCCGATTTTAGATGCTTGGTTAAAACTTTACACGAAAAAGCCTCGATATCCGGGCATTTACTCTTACACTGAACTGAAAATAGCATCGTCTAAACGTGTATGTCTTGGCTTCCGGGTAAGTTTATCAACATTTATACTCAATTGAAAGAGCAGTCGTGCTTATATCGTGTACCAGTTTGATTGTTTTATATGTGTGTGTATTTATAATATGATAGGCTAGTAATACCGTGTCGTTAGAACAAGTGCTAGATATCGAACTGATGACCTGAAATTAGATTATTGGACTGATCGCGCATCTGATATTAGATGATTAATTTGCATCGAATCTGATATTAACTTGCAACCCAATACCACAGTAAATACCATGACTTTACATTAGAATGATAACACGGCCTCATATTCTAATTCATTATACGTCCATTGCAGGCCAAAAATGTTTCAATCAATGTGGATATTTAATTGTCATGCACACGAGAATACATTCCATACGTATATATTGATCATACATCAATTGAACATGGAGATTTTCCTGTACACTTTTCCCAAACATGTGGAATAGACTAGATGCGAGTAGAAATTATCTTGATTTATCCTATGCCAAGTAGGGTTTTAGGGATATAAGTTGGTAAGATATATCCCGTATCCTGATTTTGAGGTTTCCATATCAAGAACCTCCATATCTCCCGTCATATCTCCCGCTTCGGTGCATATCTTCCCGCTTCGGGGCGTATCTTCCCGCTTCCAAAAAAAGTGGAAATGCAATAAAATGACTTTGCATATGAATGATTTGTTTATTTTTACACCTTGTACTACTGAAAACTCTACTTGGTATAGGATAAAGCAGTTATGTACGGTTGGTTTGGATATTGGGTTCATCCCTCGTGAGATATGCACATCTACTTTCTGTCCCTACGGTCCCTCAGGTAGATATGCATATCTCCCTCTGGAAAAAACCCATATCCAAAACCTCCGAGTACATAACCCTTATTTATCCCATGGTTACAAGGATATAGATCGAATATCACGTGAAGATATAATTGATACGTGGATGAAGATATCATATTTTAGCAAACAATTCCCAAATCATCGAATGTCACTTTTGAATCCATCGAATATCACTTTTTGAAAGGTGATAATCGATGGTTTCAAAAGTGATATTCGATGGTTTCAAAAGTGATATTCGATGGTTTTGATTTTTTCAATTTTTTTTATTAATTCAGCAAAACGATTGTTTATATATTTATTATATATTTTTATTTTTTTGGGATCTTGTTTTTACGGCGTTCGCATTAAATACAAACCACTCTGTTACGTCACGTATATGACGTTCGTTGAATTATCGCAATCAAAATGTCAGACGAAATGGAATTATCATTGCAATTTATCTGACTATTCAATGTTCGCTGGATAATAATTCCCAATGGGATAAACGGACAATCCTATGGTTTTTCAAAAATATCACTTATATCCACTCATGGATATCAGTATTTTCACTCATTCGCTGCGCTCACTCGCGAAGATATCAATATCCACTGGATATAAGCGATATTTTTTCAGAGCCATAGGATATTCCTATATTATTCCATAGTTAGCATGATATCCATAGGATAACATGTCAAAATAAAACGGTATTTTTGAAATCAGTGGTAAAATATGATATTTTTGGCAAATTTTCACTTAACCATAGCATACGGTGTTTTAGCCATGACATACGGCGCCGGATACGGATTTTTGCTACTTCAGACTCAAAACGAGGCTAAGTGTCAATATCGCCGTATCGTTTGGAAAATTCGTTTTAAATCACTTAATTCCCGACGATTCTGATGATGACTTTAACTATGGAATATAAAGAACATCCTATGATTTACTCGTGATATGATTTTAATCCACTCATGGATGTTGATATCTGCACTCTCTCGCTACGCTCACTCGTGCAGATATCATATCCATTCGTGGATAAAAATCATATCACTCATAAATCATAGGATATCCTCTATTTAAGATGTGATATTCGATAGTTTAAAAGTGATATTCGATGGTTTGTAAATTGTTTGCTAAAATATGATATCTTGATCCACATATCAAATATATCATCATGTGATATTCGATCTATATCCTCCTTGCAACCATGGGATAAAGCTTTACGTCCCGCTCCAAGCGGGCAGATATAATATATCTGCCCGCTACGTCATAATCGCCGCTTGCATATTTGTTCATAATTTGTAACGTTCGCGGAATGACTATAAACGGCAATGGAGAAAACACAGACAATCAGGGTCTGTTTGATAGTTAAAAAAAGGGAAAGAGCATCCACTTAATCAATAAAAAATTCGAGAAAATAAATATGGGAATATTTGAGAGAACATGAAAATCCGCCCACGGCCAAGAAAACAAAACTGGACATGAATATTCTAAAATGTTTCCACGATTTAAAAATGTGAACCAGATGACCAAGATTGGTATGGGATAAACATATTATCCTATAGTATCATATCATATCAAAATTTAAAAAGGCTTTACACCTACAATTTACACTCAGTTTATACTTACTTTACACCCAGTAAATAGGTGACCAATTTCACTGATATGCAAATGAGCTAATTTACACTTTAATTTACACTCAGTTTACACCTTAGTATACACCCACTTTACACTTAAGTTTACATCTACTTTACATCCAGTTCGCACTTAGTTTTCACTTAAGTTTACACTCAGTTTACACTTACTTTACACCCAGTAAATAGGTGACCAATTTCACATGCAAATGAGCTAATTTACACCTAAGTTTACACTCAGTTTACACTTTAGTATATATCCAATTTACATCAAGAGCACATTCTGATTGGTCAGATTTTAAACTTAATTTACAGTTAGTTCACATAGTTCACCTAATCCTTAATTGGCGAAATGCTAACTGCTTATCGCAGGGGGAGAGAATGCAAAGATATTCTGAATTTTGAAGCACTGTGATCAGAGAATAATATTAATGAAGATACAGGGGCTCCAAAGCGTAACGAATTGAAAAAAATTGCAAAAACAAAAATCCCATGTTAAATCGCCATGGGGATTTTCCTGGAATTTTCTGTCTAAGCGCTTTAAAAAGTATTTGTAGGAGTTATGCTATAGTACAAATATCACAGAATGATCAGCATTAAAGATCTATACAAGTAGTTCTGCACAGATTTTTAAATTGAAGTTTTAAACAAAAAAATGCTTAAATAATTCTGTTTTGAAAAAAGTCCAAATCCGCCATCTTGAATTATGATGTCACAATGACACTTTTTTGCATATTCAATTTTTTCCAGAAAAAACTCCGTAAAATATGGGTCTGTATAATTTATTGGGCCTTGCTTCCTTCTCTTAAGATTCTTTTACAAATAACTTTTTTGTTTTCTTCATTTTTCTTAAAAGTTGCCAGTCTCCAAGGAGTTAATGAATGTATATGTCCTATGTAAAACCTATACAAATAAACTGACCCATATTGAATTGCAGCCCAGGGTATAATGCCATCATGATTCAGATTAGAATGAATTCTAGGTGAAAAGATCAAAACAAGCAGGCAAGCACAAAAGGTAGAAAGATTCAATGGATATATTGAAAAGAAATTTGAAGCTTAAGAAAATGGATAACTAAATGAACAATGATGATGAAACTGGAACAAATGCACAACTAATACCTAATGGTAAAGTTGACACCAAAATCAAATAAAGTAAAACTGTATCAGGGCCGATGTTATAAGATTTTGTGAAGACTTACCAAAACCAAAATGGCTAAGCCAGCTTTGATTGAAAGAGAGGCTGCATGAGCCTCGTTTTGGAATTAGGATTCAGTCAAGTATACACTTAGTTTACACTTTGACCAATATTTGATTTTTCTGAGTCTAATTTACATCCAGTTTTCACTTTTAACAAATTCAAAGTCAAGTTAACACCTAGTAAATCAGTGTTTACTTTCTGCTAGTAAATACCTTTTTACTTGAGGTAAAGTTAACATCGAAGTATACACCAAGGTCTGGTGTAAATTAAGTGTAAACTGAGTGTAAATTGGATGTAAACTTGAATTCATTTTTGTTTGGGCGGTTCAGGATATTGGGATTATCCCTTGGCCAATAAATAGGGGTTATGCAATTGGAGGTTTTGGATACAGGGAATATCCCGAGGGATATACAATATATCTTCCAGAGGGACCGAAGGGACCAAGGGAAGATATATTATATATCCCTCGGGATATTCCCTTCCAAAACCTCCAAGTGCATAACTGTTGTATATAGTTTAGCATGATATGTACTTCTTTTTGTAACTGGAATACGATTCTAATATACAAGCAGCACACACGTATTCCCGGGGAACCATAAATATTTTGTGTAGGGTGTGGACATTTTTCTTTTCATTTCTCTAAAATCAGATTATTCTCATAAAATTCATACAAAGTTGGGCCTAAGCCTCTATTTTCGTATTCTGCATGTTAAGATATTTATAATGTAAAACCTAAGAGATAAATTCAATGTCTTCAGTTGAGAATAAGTATAAGGTAAATGTGTGAATTCTGCTTGTTGTTGCACTATTTTTATAATAAACAAGGTTCGATACGCAACACTGAATAGACTGCAGTCATAGCTTAGTTGTAAAGAAAACAAAAGAAGTTGGGACGTGGTCATGCTTGAATACGATTTTAAATATATCGCCGTTTACATTTGTTGAAATCGGCCTGTATTAATTTCAATAGGTGATCGGTGTACAAGGGCATATATTTGAGTTATTGGTTTAACGATAAGTATGACCTATGAGTGGGTAATGTTTTACAAATGCATGAAACAAATACTCCAATGGCCTAATCTCAATTTTCCTGCATAAACTATTACATTGAAATGATGGTCATTTGCTCTCTAACTTCCGCACCGCATACGTAACTTCGTAACAATTCAATAAGCCAAGACAGGACCGCTATAATCGCTACATGCCAGTGTACTCCTGTAATATCCATTTATTCACTACATTGTTATTCTACTTCAAAATGGTGTTAAGAACATAGCATATTGTAACCTAACTTACTGTTCTTTTATTTGACTCTCTTAAAACCGTTGGATGCTAAATGTGAAAGCCGCTTTTGTTATACTCCAATTTTAGTACTCTTATGTCAACATATATTCAAACACTTCTGTTTTGTGTTCATAAAATTATACGCTGCCTTTTGAACTAAGAACTTTTTAGTGGTATTTACAATAGTCTATTGTAAATATTGTTGAGTAGTGATTTGTAGTATTTGTAGTAAAGTTTTAAGTGTGTAAGTTACCTTGGCCAAAGGTTAAAGATAAAATCAGGTGGGATATGATATAGTGGATTTGGTAGTCATAAAAAATTGTAACAATACCCCAACAAAAATATACATGTGTGCTGTATGATATGCTTATCTGATAAAATATTAAGTTTTGATGCTTTTTGATTTATGAAAGGATGTCATTAAAGTATGTTCAAATTTAAAAAATAAATTAAACCTTAACTTTGAATTTTAGTTTCTGCTTTATACATGAAAAGTGCATCATGAATAGCGTAAGAGGTGAAAAGAACTTTAGCAAACACATATAGATTTGCATGTTTTCCCAAACCCAATAAAACCCAAATAGTAGATGATGTCATTAGCCATTTTTGTTCAGCCTTAATGTTGCTACGTACGCGTACTTAAAAACTTAAGAATGTGTTAATTATCAGAATGCCATACACTAATATGTTAATCTCAAACCTATGACATCTTTCTGCCTTGCAAGTAGAGATTTTACATTTTGGCATGCCAACCTAAGGTCCTTACCATGGCATGGGTGCACTAAGGTCCTATCACATTTGGAAGAGTTTATTTTCATTCAAAAGGTAGTATAGGAGTCGATACATTTTATAAGCACAACATTTGAATACACACTCAGTGGAGTCAGTTACTTGAATAAAACCTAGACATTGCAAATCTATATAGTAATGTATTAGTATAGTATATAATTTATCAATTGTGCAAAAAAACATGCAGAATAGTTCTAGTGATAAAGACAATCTTCCCATTACAAACCAAAGGCTTTACCAAAATGCCCAAAAATCACTATTGATGTTTCTATTATTGCAGACATTTATGGTTAGATTATTGACTAAATTTTACAAACAGGCACAATTCTAAAAAATCTTACTTGGAAATACAAATTAAGGTGCTATGGAAGTTAACAGGAAATGACAAAACAAAAAATGTCAAAACCATGCTGGATTTTGCAAATTTTTTGAATCAAGATAACAGAGTTCTGTTTGGACCTCCAGTCAGTTTAATTAGTTCCACATATCATTTACATGACTGGGAACACAAGGAAAATGGTTAGAATGATCATAAACATGATGAAATAACCTTTTCAGCCCTCTGAAAATGTGACTGAAAAATAGCTAAGAGTAGGTGCTCAGGAAAGGTCACTGAAGTGAATCTTTTGACTTTTTCAGAAAATGTGCCCAATATATTACTCTAAATGATACAAATTAAAAAAAATTCATATCATTCTCAGAAAAAGAAAAAATGAAAAAAATGAATTTAAAATCGATCTATTTTCCTTTTAACAACAGCGATTATTGTTTCCGACAATTTTTTAAAATTTCAAAGATTGTATCATTTAGAGCAATATATTAGACACATTTTCTGAAAAGATTAAGAGATTCTGTTCATTGACCTTTCCCGAGCACCTACTTTTAGCTATTTTTCAGTCACATTTTCAGAGGGCTGAAAAAGGTTATTTCATCATGTTTATGGTCATTCTGACCATTTTCCTTGTGTTCCTAGTCATGTAAATGATATGTTGAACTAGTTAAACTGACTGGAGGTCCAAACAGAACTCTGTTATCTTAGTTCAAAAAAATTTCAGAATCCAACATGGTTTTGACATTTTTTGTTTTGTCATTTCTGTTAACTTACATAGCACCTTAAATTACAAATTAAAATGTGTTGCATGAAACACATTGAGGAATTTGTTCATACAAACTGGAGAAAGTATAAAATCTGGGTTCTCCACTTTCAATGAACACATTTTTGTACTTTCTCCTACATGTATGAACAAATATTTTGTGTCCATTCTCCAACATGCATAAGCAAATTATTTGTACTTTCTCCATTGTGCATGAACCAAAACGTTGTTTATCTCTTCCGTGTTTTCAATATTTTGTTAATTAATCAATGTGTCAGAACGAATAAAATGTACCTAAACCAGTGAGTATGAACGAATTTAATGTACTACAATATCTATAATGTGTATGAAGAGACATTACGCTCTTTCTCCAGTATGGTCATGTATATGAACCAACACGCCTGTGTAGTATATACTTTCTCCAGTATGTATGAACAAATATCATGTACTCCATTGTTTATGAACACACATTTTGTATGAACAAATACTATGTACTTTCTCCAGTGTGTATGAACGTACAGAGTATTGGTTAAATAACTAGTGAAAGTACATAATATTTGCTCATACACTCTGGAGAAAGTACATGATATTTGTCAATACACACAGTTAAAATTTATTGTTTCATATATACACTGGAAAAATATAAATAGTAGTCCATACACACATACACAGAAAGTAAATAAAACAATAAAATATTTAGGCACATGGGAAATTAACCTAGTTTCGATTCATACATACTGGAGAAAGTATACACTAAGGAGTGTGACTCAGAAAATGTGACTCAAAAACAGTTAAAAGTTGGACTTTTAGAAAGGTCACCAGACAGAATCTATTGCATTTTTGAGAAAGTGTGCCAAATATATTATTTGAAATTATAGAAGCTTTTGAAAATTTGAATTCATTCCTAAAAATAGAAAAAACGAGAAAACTGCTTTAGAAAGCAATCCATTCTCTTTTTATGATCACAATTTTTGTTTCAGACAACTTTTCAAAATTTCAAAGCTCCTATGACTTGTATGATTTAGAGTAATACATTGGGCACATTCTCTGAGAAGTCTTTCACATGATGTTTAGGGTCATTCATTCATACAAACTAGAGAGAGTATTAGAATATTGATTAATCCAATCTGAGTAATATGATATATAGTTGGTTCTTCAAAAAAGAGGTTTACTTAGATTTTGAATATCAAATAGATTTGGATCAAGTGTTATAAAGAATCTGATCTTCTTAACTTACTTAACTTCGAGCATGCAGATAAATATTTAATGGATTTAGATAAAATGCAGAGTTCCTGTGACAATGGCATTTATTTTTAATGATCAAGAAAGTACTTTGCACGCTCTCGCCAAGTTAGGAAGAAGCCAGAGCTTTCATTCTGGTACACATCGCATCTAGAAACATGTCTGTGTCTATCATGTAAGAAGAGAGGGTCAAGGTATTCCATGATGGAGCATTTTGGAAACCCTTCTTAGAAATTGCTATGCTGAAAATGGGCTATTGGTATGCACTGTGTACAAGTAGTGCAGATTGCTCCGATTTTCACTACGGCGCCATGCCGATTGAGTATTTTGTTCAAAATTGAATACAATATTGAACAAACGGAGCAAATGTGACCCAGGCATCAGTGTTGTATGAATTTATTTTGTTAGGATGCCAGTCAGAGCTCTTGATGCAAGTACTAAGTTTGCAAACATGCATGTCAACCATGGCCAATTAGAAAAGTGCACCCCTTCTATATGATAATATAAACCCTTCCTATACCTTGGTTTAGCTTTGGATCACTATGCTATCACTATGTGGCAGAAATGCATTCTGATTGGATATAAATGATCACATGACTTAGTTCACCAAGGTATCAGGAGATGGCATGCCAAAATGTAAAATCTCTAGTAGCATTACTGAATAAGGGATGTCCAAATCCTACTGTAAGTCTTACCTTTTGTGTTCACAGAAAGTTTGATTCCCTGACTGTTAAAGTATTCTATTAAGGTCCTTGCGCCTGTCTTCTGGAAATGAAATAAAGTGAACTCAGGTCAATGACAATTGAGAACAATTACACAATTAAAGATTTGTGCCTCTATTTTACATATAAATGTTTTGATATCGTATTTGTTTTTTTATTCATTGTACCATTGTATTATTTTTATTCATTGTACATCCTAAATTAATTGTAAATACCATTTTATATACCTACATGTAACATAATATAAGTACTTTCTTTTATATGTAGTCTAGATGTCATTTTAAGAATTTCTGTTAAACCACAACATATACCCAAATGTCTAGCGGCTTGTTTTTATAGTGTATATTATATGAGAATTATGAAATAAATAAATTGAATTGAAAACTATGCAAGAGGGACAGTTGTTAACAAAAGAACAAACATTTACTTGTTCAAGAATTCAATGAAATACTCTACAAAGTACAGGGGTTTTATTAGCAGCAGGCAACAGGTGATTTTCACCTTTTCACAATATCGCTTGTTGTATTAAGGGACTTTTCAACATTTCCATGTTTAATTTATGATTTCCATTAATTTTGCCTGTTGTTTTCCTTTATCTGGCCTGTAGTGAGAAATTCTAATGAAACCCCTGAAAGAAGAGGTTTATGATACATGTGTAAATGGATATTCCAGTTTAACATGTCATAATAGGTATTCAGTTAGTCAATAACAGAAATGTTCCTTTTACACATTTATCTAGGTCTAAATTTAGGATTTTCATTTATTATAAGTTCCATGTGTATTGAGAGATTTTAACATTTTTATTCTTGATAAATAAAACTTTTCAAAATGTCTAGGCAAATTGTGTAAAAGAAAACAAATTGGATATGCATTAATCTATTGAAATCCAATATACCCCTGATGTCAACGCTTTATCACATGTATATTTAATGCGTGGAAATCTAACAAAATATTTATTGAAATCAGATGACCCTGACAAAAAATAATAGAAAACATTCAAATTTCTCTGCATTTTCAGAGAAAATACTGGATGCAGATCTAAACTATTTATTAAAAACTTGAATACTGTCTCCTAATATGAATACCTTTTTGAGCTAATGTTCAAAATGTGTGCTAATGAGTAAAAGTATGACTTTTAGTTTTTTTTCAAGGGAGATTAAAGTAGGATCCTGGATGATCTGGGTAAAAGCTACTGAAATTGTTGCTTTCTTGGTTCCAAATGATCTTTGAGCAACTGTTTTCATAGAGGCATTAAAATAGTATATGAGGAAAACTTGTTTTTTCAAGTTGGATGACCATTTTTTGACATGGGCAGTGGCTTATACTTTGGTGGTTTTAAGTCTCTGCCATGTTTAATATGTCTCTGCATGAAATTTAGCGATCGGCCTCTACTAAAGGGGATACACTGATACGGGAAAGAACAGGCTGATTTAAAAGGTAATGGTAGTATGTTCAACTGTATTCTAGAACTTCGAATTAATACCAACATAATAATCAGACTTACACTTGAAGTATTTCCTGGAAAAACTGCACGAGGATAAAGCTGCGTTATCAGTTTCAGAAAAATTGAACCATCTTGGAAATCAGCAATCCCTTTAACACATTCATTATCTGGTAAAACAGAATTACACCAATGTATGTAGGTCTGAAACAATAAAGAAAAATATGTCTTTATTAATATGTTAAACTCATCTAATTACAGGTTCTCATAACTGATGAAACAATATGAGATTTCTGGGATGTGTTTCAGGTAATATATCACCTTTAATTAGAGTGTGTTTACTTTCAATTATGATTTTCATTTATTAAGTTAAGTATCAATGTCCTTAACCTTTTATAATAAGAGAAGCTAGGTGAAATATTGAACATTTCTACTTCATTAAAAGAAAAATCAAAATCTAGGGAGCACCTTTCCAAAAATGTGTCACAATTTTCTAATATTTTGGCCTTATGCTCCTTTTGGCCTCATGATCCTTGTTATTTATGATTTAAGACTTTACTCAGGGGGAACTATTTAAGCTCAAATGTTTACTTTCAGAAAAGAAGCTGTTGCGATTTGCAATAATCCTAACAACTGGAATATTGCTGTACCAAAATATTTCAACATTATATGATGGTAGTCATGCAGTAATACACAAACAAAGACCAACATTAGGAAGTTTAGGAAGTGACATATGCCACAGTGATGATGCTAATCTAAAAGATGAAAGAAATAATGAACTGACAGACAATCCAACAAAGAAAGAAGATTCTTACAATATTTCTATCACAAACATTGAAGAGACTAGTGCACACAATACTAATCAGAATGAAAGAGTTGGTGACAATATAATGATATCAAACCAAGAAAAACTTATCAATCAAAATATGAATAAAATAGACACAAAAATCCCAATCGATGATGCTGATTTCATATGCAAAAATGTCGAGCTGAAGGATATCTTTAAAGAACCATTTCCCTTGTGCCTCCACTCTGCTCAAAGAGATAAATATGTATCAGGTGCATTTCTAGAGAATGGTTACTGGGAGAGAAGTTCTGTGAATAAGATATTAAAGACATTAGAGCAGCATCCAAGTTGGGGTTTCGTTGATGTTGGTGCAAACATAGGAACATATACAATCCCTATATTGAAATTGGGCAGAAAGGTGGTGGCTATTGAGGCGTTGAAGCGTAACATTATACGCATCACAAGATCTGCTCAACTTAGTGATCTCCATGACAACCTGACGCTATTACACAATGCAGTATATGACACACATGCTAATTTCACATTTCAACCTGCAAGGGGTAACATTGGTGGAATAGCAATAGTTGGACTTCATACATCAAAAGGCAAAAGACAAAGTGTACAGATGGATGAAACGGTGTCATCTATATTTCTTGATGAAATCTTAGATTATATCAACTTTACTCATGCTATAATGAAGATTGATATTGAAGGAACAGAGCTTCATGCATTTAATGAAGCGCAAAAACTTCTAAACACTGTTAAATTCCATGAAATCTATATGGAATGGTTTCACGTGAAAAGGCTCAAGGAAACAGCCAATTTTGTAGAAGAAATGCTTAAACGTGGCTACAGAGCATACAATGCAAGAAATGGTCGACAAGTTTCAGAGAAATTTATAAGGATCTGGCCAGAAGATATTATATGGAAATCATCACACTAATTTGAAGTGGTTGGTGAATTTTTCCATTATAACACAGTGATCTCCCTAGGATTTTTTCTCAAGTGGGTGCAAAATTCTCATTTTCACAATTCACACTAAAATTGGTCAAAATATGACCATTTTTTATAATTTTCTCATTTTCAAGTGGGTGCAAATAGATTTTCAGGCGGGTGCAAGCCTGTTTTTTAAATTTCAGGTGGGGTGGGTGCTGCAGCAACTTCTGCTCCCACTTGCAAGTGACTTACATGTGCGCATGCATGCTCAAAACAAAAATTCAGGAATTCATGAAAGAAGTAAATCCGTTTTACATTTCATTTTTTATCCCTTGGATATTGTGCTTATACTCTATGGCTGATGCAACTATCATCAACCAAGTCTATAAGCTGACATTCATTATGTTTACTGACTTCTGAAGAGTAAATGATGGTCTCAATCTTTAGCTTAAAGGTGCAACAATTATTGCAGGGGGGCCATTCAACGATCATCAACCAGTGTCAAAATATATTTAAGTTTGGATATTTCATCAAGACTAACATTTGTTTTTATTATCTACAAAGAAACCCCCTGGATGAACATTATTTCAGCTGATATTCCTCTTGAAACGCGGTGAATCTTAAAAATCTATAAGTGGGACTCCCTTTATAGAAGCTTTGAAATGAATGTACACTTCTTAAGGCTGAAATTGAGTGTTTATCCATACATTTTAAGAAAATAGGTACGTATGTCAAAGCAGATGTTAAACTAAATATTGACTTGATAGTTGACAATTTTTTAAAAATTCGAATTTTCTCTCTACAGTCCTTGTTGCCCCTTTAAAGTCTTAAAATTGTGATTCTAGCTTGTAAGTCAGGATGTGAAATTGACAGTATACAGGGTGTCCCGAAAGTATGGCCCCCCTAGGGAGACATACACCAATGTCCCCATAGTATATCATTTTAAAGCTTGTCCAAAGTTGCACTGATTTGCTTAGTATCATGGTTCAACTCACAAAAGGGAAAAAGTTACACACATTTCAAAATGTAGTGTTTTACCAAAATTAAAGTTTAGTTTTACACAAAGTTAAAAGTCGGCGTGTCTCCCTTGGCCATGTTAACAGCAGCATTTCATTCCAGATATGACCTTAAATGCACTTCAACTAGGGGTATGGCATTTTATGATCCTCATAAAACCTTTTTAAGGCATTTTGGAAGAGTTTCCTTGGAGTATCTGCCCTTACCGACCTCTTTTTACAACTCAATATCCATCCTCTCTTTGACGATAGCAACCATATTTTTGGTCACATTCAGGTTAGCAGTGTTTCCACGATACTGATTTTACTTTAATTTTGGCCAAACACTAAGCTTTGAAATGCCTGTAATTTTTCTCATTTGTAAGTTGAACGATGATACTTGGCAAATCAATGTAACTTTGGATAAGCTTTATAATGATATGTGACACATACTATGGGAACATTGGTGTATGTCTGCCTGGGGGGGGGCCCATACTTTCGGGACACCCTGTACATGTAGATTTTAAGTACATGTATGATACACATAACATGAGATTCAAGAAAACTTTAACAAACGACAAAATTATTGCTGTAAATGGCGTCTAAACATTAATATCAAAAAATCGAAAGTATTAACTATCAGTAAAAAAGAATATGACACATTCACATCCAAAAATAATCGAGAATGTCAATGCGTACATATACTTAGGGGTATCCATAAGAAAAATGGCAGTAAAACCTCTGCAAATGATCTCGTATTGAAAGCACAAAAGGCTTGGTTTGCATTTAAAAACATTATTTTCTAATGATATAAAAAACATCAAACTGATTTTTCATTTATTTGACATGTGCATAAAGCCTATTATGACTTATTGTAGTGAAGTATGGTGTATGATTGCCAATTCTCCTCACAGCTCAAATTAACATGATTAAATATTGGATACCTAGAAAATCTACCAAAAGAAAGACTACTTTCCAAAATTTACAGTTTATCTAAATCAGAAAATCTGAATTGGTTCAAATATATAAAAAAAATGCCTTGCAACAATAAATATAGACATTAATCAATACGACTAAAATATTGTGCTTTAACATTACTATGGTGGTGACAGGCCTTGCATCCATTGTCACGGTCATATCAGGCTTTAAAATTACTATAGTCATGACAGGCCTTACAACCACTGTCATGGTCATATCAGGCTTAAACATTACCATGGTCATGACAAGAGGAGGGAAAACCCCATGATTCAATTGATGACATACGATTTCCTCCTTCGTGCACCTCCTTTTGTCAAAAACGTACCCTCCATCTTGGTTTTCAAAGTTTTCAAATTGACCTAGTTTTAAACCAATCAATGATCGACTCGCAAAACCAATCAACGATGATGTCATCTCAATACAGATTTACATTATAAGCGTATGTCATCTTTGAACCCTGGGGTTTCTCCCCCTCTTGGTCATGCCTTGCAATATAATAAAACATTGTCACGGTTATACCAGGCTTTCATGATAACACTACCACGGTCACGGCAGGATCCTTGCGCAACTTAAAAACACTGAAAAACATGGTGATGGCTGTGCAAGGCATAAGTCTTGCAACAGATAGGGTCTCAAAGGAGACTCAATTTGGATTTATATCAACCCTAACATACATGTACACTGTATACACAAGAGCTATACAGGATACATGTATATTGTATATACTATAGAATGCCAGGATTAGACCTAAGGCTAAGGCATACTATATAGAAATGATTTCAAGAGTGTTGGCATTGTCAATGGAAATTGTTGAAGTATAATCCCATAAGTACACTGACTGGGTGAATAGAGTTCTACAATAGAGTCGGAACCTAATATTCTAATAGGCCAAGTTTTTACTCAAATTAGAAACTTACATGTTGCAGCTATTTGAAACTAAATTGGGCTCTTAATTAGGTAGAGCACATCACAACAGGTAGCAGAAAACCGTGTTCATAGTTGATTTAACAGCCTAATTCAACTAATCTCTAAAGTAAACAAATCAAAAAAATCTTAGGAAAAATTTTAGCTTCATTTTTACTAGTCAATATTAGGAGAACTACAAGATAAAACAATATGTATTTACCTACCTGTAAAACAGAACTCTTTCTTCTACTCATAGCTCCGACATAGCTACAATATCTCTTCTAATTCCGTCGATATCTTGCATATTTTAAAATAATTTTCTATTTACTTCCTTATCTTCGCGGCCATTTTGGGTTGTGATTGGAAATATACACTGAAACCCCTGCACTGAAACGAAAATGTGAAATAAAAATAATTCTAGATTCTGCTGCACTAAAACAGACACAGCAATGTTGGTTAAAAATGAATACATCATGGACTTCAAATGGTAACATGGCTATATGTACAATTGCCCGGGTACAATTGATCTATATCATATTCCATCATCAGACAGGCTGATCTCGAGCTCAATGAGACACTGAATCTATCATCATGCTAAAATTGATTCCAGTCATTTACAGTGTACACTTGATCTCAATAACACATTCTGTCACAAAACTACAAGTGATCTTTATGACACAATCAATCATCAGCCAACAATTGATCTCTATGACACAATAAATCATCAGACTACAACTGATTTCTATGACACAATCAAACGTCAGGCTACAATTGATCTATATGACACAATCAATCAACATGCTACAATTAATCTCTATGACACAATAAATATTCAGACTACAATTGATTTTTATGACACATTCAATCATCAGGCTACACTCTATGGCACAATAAATCATCAGGCTACAATTGATTTTTATGACACAATCAATCATCAGGCTACAATTAATCTATATGACACAATAAATCATCAGGTAACAATTGATTTTTATGACACATTCAATCATCAGGCTACAATTAATCTCTATGGCACAATAAATCATCAGGTAACAATTGATATTTATGACACAATCAATCATCAGGCTACAATTAATCTCTAAATCTCTATGACACAATAAATCATCAGGTAACATTTGATATTTATAACACAATCATTCATCAGGCAACAATTAATCTTGATGACACTATCAATTATCAGGCTACAATTGATCTCCATGACACAATAAATCATCAAGTAACACTTGATTTTTATGACACAATCAATCGATATCATCAGCCTACAATTAATCTCTATGACACAATAAATCATCAGGTAACAATTGATTTTTATGACACAATTAATCATCAGGCTATAATTAATATCTATGAAACAATAAATCATCAGGTAACAATTGATTTTTATGACACAATCATTCATCAGGCAACAATTGATCTATATGACACAATCAGTCATCAGGCTACAATTAATTTTTATGACACAATCAATCATCAGGCTACAATTGATCTCTATGACACAATAAATCATCAGGTAACAATTGATTTTTTATGACATAATCAATCATCAGGCTACGATTGATTTTTCTGACAAAATCAATCATCAGGGTACAATTAATCTCTATGGCACAATAAATCATCAGGTAACAACTGATCGCAATGGCACACAATCATTCATCAGGCAACAATTGAACTATATGACACAATCAATCATCAGGCTACAATTGATTTTTCTGACATAATCAATCATCAGGCTACAACTAATCTCTATGACACAATAAAATCATCAGGTAACAATTGATTTTTATGACATAATCAATCATCAGGCTACAATTGATTTTTCTGACAAAATCAATCATCAGGGTACAATTAATCTCTATGGCACAATAAATCATCAGGTAACAATTGATCACAATGGCACAACAATTCTTCAGGCAACAATTGATCAAAGACACAATCATTCACAAGGCTAAAATCTATTTCTATGACACAAGCAATCATCAGGCTACAATTGATATTTATGACACAATCAATCATCAGGCTACAATTAATCTCTATGACACAATCAATCATCAGGCTACAATTAATCTCTATGACACAATAAATCATCAGGTACAATTGATGGCAATGACACAATCATTCATCAGGCTACAATTGATCTCCATGACACAATCAATCATCAGGCTACGATTGATCTCTATGACACAATAAATCATCAGGCAACAATTAATCTCTATGACACAATCAATCACCAGGCAACAAATGATGGCAATGACACAATCATTCATCAGGCTAAAATTAATCTCTATGACACAATGAATCCTCAGACTACAATTGATTTTGATGACACAATCAAAGATCAGGCTACAATTGATCTCAATGACACAATCATTTATCCGGCTTCATTTGATCTATATGACACAATCAATCATCAGGCTACAATTAATCTCTATGACACAATAAATCATCATGTAACAATTGGTCGCAATGACACAATAATTCATCAGGCAACAATTGATCTCTATGACACAATAAATCATCAGACTACAATTGATTTCTATGACACAAGCAATCATCAGGCTCCAATTAATGTTTATGACACAATCAATCATCACTCAACAATTGATGGCAATGACACAATCATTCATTAGCAACAATTAATCTCTATGACACAATCAATCCTCAGACTACAATTGATCTCAATGACACAATCATTCATCAGGCTACAATTGATCTGTATGACACAATCATTCATCAGGCTACAATTGATCATCAGGCTACAATTGATCTGTATGACACAATCATTCATCAGGCTACAAGTGATCTATATGACACAATCAATCAACAGGCTACAATTGATCTCTGTAACACAATCAATCATCAGGCTACATTTGATCTTTATGAGACAATCAATCATCAGCCTACAATTGATTTATATGACACAATCAATCATCGGGCAACAATTGATCTCTATGACAAAATAAATCATCAGACTACAATTGATTTCTATGACACAATCAATCATCAATTAAAGATTTTAGGATATCTGCATTTTTAACCATTAAAAACTAATATTTTCTTCTATTTGAAGGCCTACCAATACCCATGATGCCATCTATTTTCCATTTATAAATATGGAAAAAGGTCAATTGATCCCTATGGCAGTATGGAACAATCATTCATTAGGCTACAATTGGTCCTTATGAGACATTGAACATGACTGTATTCACGCCTTCTTTAAACTGTAAACAGAGTCAACATTTCACCCAGGGTATATTCTCGATCGATACCCCTGGTAATACGTATAATGTGTGACGTCATAACATTGGGTCGTAGTAATGGCGGACCATAATGAATATTCGAAACATTTTGGTGAGTTTTCATGTTCGAATCATAATATAGACCTCAGAGCAGGGGTAATATTGTTGAATACACCCCTTAGGGCTAGGCACAAAAGCTTTCAAACCCAGAAAACAGGCTACAATTGATCTCATCGGCACATTCAATCATCAGGCTACACTTACAATACAATCTATCATCAGGCTACAATTGATCTCATTGGCACATTCAATCATCAGGCTACACTTACAATGTAATCTATCATCAGGCTACAATTGATCTTATCGGCACATTCAATCATCAGGCTAGTACACTTAAAATACAATCTATCATCAGGCTACAATTGATCTCATTGGCACATTCAATCATCAGGCTACACTTACAATATAATCTATCATCAGGCTACAATTGATCTCATTGGCACATTCAATCATCAGGCTACACTTACAATATAATCTATCATCAGGCTACAATTGATCTCATTGGCACATTCAATCATCAGGCTACACTTACAATATAATCTATCACCAGGCTACAATTGATCTCATTGGCACATTCAATCATCAGGCTACACTTACAATATAATCTATCATCAGGCTACAATTGATCTTATCGGCACATTCAATCATCAGGCTACACTTACAATATAATCTATCGTCAGGCTACAATTGATCTCATCGGCACATTCAATCATCAGGCTACACTTACAATACAATCTATCATCAGGCTACAATTGATCTCTTTGACACATTCAATCATCAGGCTACAATTGATCTCATTGGCACATTCAATCATCAGGCTACACTTACAATATAATCTATCATCAGGCTACAATTGATTTCATCGGCACATTCAATCATCAGGCTACACTTACAATACAATCTATCATCAGGCTACAATTGATCTCTTTGACACAGTCTATCATAAGTTTACAATTGATCTCTATGACACAATCTATCACCAGACTACAATTGATCTCTAAGACACAATCTATCACCAGACTACAATTGATCTCTAAGACACAATCTATCATAAGGCTACAATTGATCTCTAAGACACAATCTATCATCAGGCTACAATTGATCTCTTTGACACAGTCTATCATAAGTTTACAATTGATCTCTATGGAACAGTCTACCACCAGGCAACAATTTATCTCAACGGAACTAAATCTGTCATCAACCTCAAAATTAATCTTTTTGGGTAATCATTATATGTTGTTAATGTAATCAACTTCTCTATAGCAACAAGTCAATCATGTGTTCATTTTTTCCAATTTATTTTGATCATAGGCAACATAAACATAAAACATGTAGAAACAATAAAAATACATCAAGTAAAATTGTATAGTAAAAATACATCTACTATTTATACTGGTATAGCTACCCTGAAAATCACTAGTAGTATCATACTACCATACTAAGTACCCTCTGATAACCACAAATAAAGGAAGGTATGATATAGACTGGACAAGAAACCAGCATTTATGGCAATTTGTGGTACTTGATTTTAGACCATGTAAATATGGCACTAATCTGCTAATGGGTTTACATGATTACCATGAACTAGTCTATAATCTTAAAGTTTTTAATGTTTAATCAGTCAATAGCCCAATTTACACTACACGCAACATTCCAAGACGTCTTGGCTAAAACTATATTGAGTTTTCAACACTATTTTCAAGATGTCTTACGAAGTATGACTGAGCTTTCTTGGCTATGGCTAGGGTCCTAAAACGTTTTGACAAAGCACTCTAAGCCGAGAGCTCTTGAGAAAAAACGCTAAAACGTTTTACCCAAGACGTCGCAGGGATTTTAATTTAGTGTAAATCCAACTATTGAGATTTGAAAACTATAGGATAGACCTAGTATTGTTTTTTCTTCTTTGGATTTCTAGATTTTGGTGCAAATGATTCAATTTTGTTCTTTTTATCAAAAATCTCTTGTGCTACCATTAAGTTCCTGAATGCATCTGCTACTAAAATTGCAGGGATAATTATCCATATACTGTTGAGAAATACAAAATAAAACCAGAAATACAATGGATGCCACATCTCTCCATGTTTGAACCCATCAAAATAACTTGTCATGAAGTACAAGACATCGCCATAGAGTTGACAAAGAGATACAGTGAGCTGCAGTGGGTAGCGGAGAGGATGTGATTTAACGAATGCAACTGTAGTTAGTATGCAAAGGGGTCCATCTATAAATGCTGTGATTGTCTCCATGCACACTGTGAAGTTATCACTGGCAATGTATCTGCTGTCACCAAGTCCATACTCCTTCCCTGTAAGTAAATCATTTATGCAGCTGTTACACTAGTTATAAAAACATGAAAAATTACATTCGATACAAGTACAATATAATTGCATTATTTAAGGATTTAAGCCCTGGACTCAGTGTATTGTGTGCTGAATCATTGTTGTTGTTTCCAAATCTTTGCGTGATCATGCAGTGGGAATGCAAAGTTTACGAAGGAACGCCTGAGTGGAATGAAGCAGCCACTTAATGTATTGGAGTCTTGGGCCTATTAAATTCACTCCATACATTGCACAATTTTTCTAGGAAATCACCTAAAAGAACTCATTTTCAAAGAAACTTTTTGCAAGGATCAAGAGTTGGCAAGGTATCAATTTCACTCTGGAGAGTCAAGTTGTCAGCTTGCTTAAATGGGATGATTGATGATATTATATAATGCACTGCAGTTAAATGAAATACTGTGTCCAGATTGGCTGGAATCAGACCAAGTGCCTATCTACATGTATGTGTGAATTGCATTTTATATTGGGTTGTATTATAAATTGTTGCTCATATGGATTGAATTGCATACCATAATACTATCATCATCTAATTCCTATATCATTATACTGCTCACCCTTTGAACAAATCCCTGATCACAAAATTCCAAAACATTAATACTTACACATCTGAGCAAGAAGAGTCTGCTCTCCAGCCAAGGTCCTGTGAAATACACTAAAATAACCCTCTAGAACCATGTGAATGAGTCCACTAACAACCAGCCAAATCAGCTTTATCTTCAGTAGCACTCCTAGTCGCCCATGTTGCATCTTGCCTAGTATCAACCATGTTGCAATCAGCACAAGCGTAACTATGGCAAAGAAGATCCCAAGTATTTCTAGTAAAGGCTTGGTGTTTGGCTCATAGTGAGGAAGTTGTAAGGATGATGGTAGGTAAGGATGGTCTCCAGGCATAGCTTAACTTGTAAAAGCATGCTGAAACATAAAATTAAACATAAATTTAGATACTGCTGTCATTGGCTACTACATTTATTGTATAAGTCTATTTTCAGTTTCACTTTCTGTAACTTCAGAACCTTGCACATTTGAAACTTCATCCAAGGCAATATCACTATTCATTGATCCAAAATGTGAACAGAATTACACAAACTATTTAACTTACCAATTCCAAAATACTCTCTAATTCAAACAACTCAATGGGACAAAGTTATAAGACAAAGTTGTTCTTTGGTTTTGACTTCGCTCTTTGGTTTTTCAAAATGGAAGTCTACGCCAGAATAGCGAACGTATTAATTGGAAATCATGTCGAATTTCTTCGCGTTCTGCATTTCATTGCATCAAGATGGCGACTAAAGGTTAGAAATTCATATTTGTATTTTTTTGAATTTAATGTTATTTACATGTTCATCGAGACTTTTATTACCAAAATTAGTGGCATTATACGATGTTCAAATAATGCGCTATTAAGAAATATTATTCATCTCCCAAATCATGTTGAAATATATATGTTATTGACCCTTTTACTTTCCTAAAAAATTAGTAAAATTTTCACCTTTTCTCCCCGTCAATCAAATCTATAATTTGTATAAAATAAGCAATCAAAAGACCAAAGTGCAATATTATATGTAATATGAATATTTCAGATGAATTCATTTTATGTGCAAACTAACCTACAGGTGTGCCCATGGCTTCTTCAGGAAAATCGCCTGTTGCCTACTAATAAAAGCCCTTAGCTTCTTCTAAGGCCACTGTATCGTGGCAAGTGGCCTTCCTGGAAAGATAATTGATCATGGCGTAGTCATAAAATTTGAAATCATATGTCCGCCATTTTTCCACCTCACAATTTGAATTGCGAGTTTTGGTCTTATTACCTCACCAAAAATTCCAAAACACACATGAAGTGATCAGTGTATTAGTTCACATCTTCTGGATCACTAACTTAGAATTTACATCCAGTTACTAATGTCAGACGTTAACGACATTTCGTCCAGTTTTTCGAATATCGCCATTTTTCTTGGAGCCATTTTGTTTTAATTTTTGACGAAATCATGTCATATCTCATCAAGGAGTTGAGTCGGTTCCGATTTAATTGATGATTTATTTATCTGGCGATTTTTAAAATATTCAATAAATTTATGACACTCCGGCCAGCTTTTTTCAAATGGAGTTCACAGTATTCCAGATGAAATCACCTCTTGCCAAGTATTGGCTAGAGACTCGAGTAACCTGGGCCTGTTGTAAATCATGGCATAGAATAATTGAAATGACGTCACAGTGCATGCACATAAATCAACATTTATCAAAAACCCAAGGGAGCCCCAGGGGATTGACTAACTAACGAGCATAGTGTACATGTGCAACAAGCCAGATAAAGAAGTTGAAAGAAAGTGTGCTAAAGTCAATGCCCCATGTGGGAATCGAACCTAGGACTCTTGGACCCAAAGTCTGATGCTCTACCAACTATAAAGGCTTAAGTCAATGCAGCTGGACTGTAGTAGCAACCTTCCATCAAGGGTCGTTACAATTTCATGGTTCAAAAATTTCAATGGAATCCTTGGCTTGTTACACCCATTAAAATACTTTTGACAGCTAAATGCATCCACAGATCTTTCGGCCTTGTCATTTTACTATATAGCATTTGTTGAATGATCTAATCATCCCTACAGTGTGGCGTACCTTTCGGCCTTTTTGGTAATTAATTAATAATTAGTCAATATTTTGATTTTCAATCAGAAATGCCTCCATTATTATAGCGGGATTTAATTATTGCAATATTTGACTGTGTCAACGTTTTTAGTTCAATTTGTTACCTTTGAAACTTGCCTCATATTGAACAAAAACTATCTTGCTGTTTTCATATACGAGAGTACATTTGTAAGAGTAGTATCCTCCCCAGGATTTTATCTTAAGTGGGAGCAAACTAGTAATTCTTATTTTCATAACCTACATGAAAATTGGTCAAATTATGCATATTTTTCGTGATATTTTTCATTTTGAAGTGGTTGGAAATGGATCCTCAGGTAACTCAATATAACTGAATATCCTAGATGCGAGTAGAAATAATCTTGATTTACATCATTTAAAATTCACAATTGGTTGTAGGTAGCAAACTGCCCATTCAAATATGGTAATTAACTTTTTGCTAATTTTATAAAAGTACAACCTATGACATCATCAATCTAGCTAATATATTGTGGTTTCTCTGATGGATCAAAAGATGGCATGATTTATTTGAAATGTCTATTGTGCGCAAAAATGGTAAAAAACTGCATCAATACCAGCTCTGATTATATTAACCTATTATACAACACATGAACAAGTAACAGAAATTAATTTAGTCCCTCGATGTACACGTACCGTATACCTTCTATCTGCTCACATGAATCTGGTACTACAACCCAAGTTTCAAATGAAAACTGTCTTTACCGCAGCCTCAGTGGTAACCTTGTCTTTGAAGTGACCTAAATAATTAAAATTGATTTTTAATTTGCATTGCAGCAATGGGTCTGTTGAAGAGGGGGTGGACGGAGATCCCTGAAGTGATGGCTCCTGGAGTCCTATTTTTAGGAGGTTAGTGACCATTTTTGCTAAATTTTTTAAACTTGACTTTTGGCAGCATTTTGGTGGTTCAATAATTTTTAAAGGATATGAAATTAATCAAAATAAGTTGAAATAATTGAGTATTATGTCACCACCAGAAGTGGCGACATCTCTCCAAGGTGTTTGGTATCTCTAACAAATGGCAGGTGGTGCATGTAATGCCGTGTGTATATATTGTACAGTGTAGTATTTATTGAAATACAAAGCTTATATACAAATTGAATTTGTCATTTTTGGTAGAAGAGAATGATAAAACTTCCATGAACTTTAATAAAAAGCAAATAGTGATGAAGGTTTTGTCTTCATTACCAATCCGCAGTGTTACCGCTGTTGATTAAGTTAAAACTGAATACAAGTAAGATATTTCTTCAGGATTACATACCCTATTTTTTTTTTGAAAATTCAAATCGAGCTTTAACTGAATATATTCTGTTTGCAGCCCTGGTAGCATCACCATTTATTTTGAAGAGAATTAAAGACAAAGGGGCTGATAGAGTACATATGCATAAGATGGAGTACACAGGTATTAGCCATACAATTAACAAACTGTAATTTGATTTTATAATTCTGTACTCCAGATTTTGATCATTACCCAAGATCTTTGTGCATGTGTAGTGAACAACTTTGCCCGATAGTTCAAGTTGCCTCCAGACACAACACCTGCATTTTATAGTGCATTTTGTAAAATAGCCATAAAAGCATGACCATTAGGAATAGACCAATGTAACTTGGTAGAATATGATTGTAAACTGAATGATTAACATTTGTTAAGGTTACCTTTTTTGACTCACCCTGTACTATTCGAATTGAATAAATACTTCGAAATGTACATTTTACTTCAGTAAGAGAATCAACACTTCTCTGTTTTGAAAGAATTTTTATTAAATATTATTTTTATTTTCCAGTTATACGAGATACAGATATAAAAATAGACGATTCAAATAAAGATGTATTCAATTGATGCTGCAAAGACTTCTATAGGAATTATTTAATTAGTTAGTATCATAGACAATAGTTTCATACATGAATGGACTATGAACAATATATAATATTGTTTATTTTTTGTCAAGCTATTGAAATATAATTTGCCAGTTGCCAAAATAATGAATACTTGAATGTAACAATCTGATCTGAATATATAACAAGTTGGAAAGTTTGGTGTGTAAATAAAAATACTATTATACAGAATCATAATGTTGTATTTATTTTAGTCTACCAGTGATGCATAGGTATTAAGTACCCTGATTTTTTATGTCACCACCACAAGTGGTCACATATTGTTATAGTCTCAAACTTTATTGTGTTTGGTGGTTTGCATCTGTAACAAATGACAGGTGGTGACATTTTGCATGTTAATGCCTTGTTTAGGAAATGCAACTTTGACTCTTAAGTTCATAAGACATCATCTTGTTAAAATGCACATTCAACTTTCTACAAGGCAATATGAAATTGAGAGACTTAATTTGGAATAATAGATGATGATGTTAAGTTTATTCATATCCTTAACTAGGTGCAACACCTGGTAATCAAGTTCTGGGTGCAGTGCCTTGTTTATCAAATGCTGGATGCAGCACCTGATTTTTGGTTCACACAGTGAGCCTATGGGATCGCACAAATTAAAACTGCTATTCGGATTGAGTCATATCCACATTCATTTTATGCATATCCATAATGCCTATTTGACCTAACATCGCCATTTCCCAAGTTCGCCTGGTTTCCGAGATATTGCTGATTTTGACGTCAAAAAGTCAAATTTTCTGTAAATACTAGACACTTTGTTGAAGTAGAACTTTCAAATAACTTGTAGTAGTTGCTGTATATGCAACTTATGTTCTCTGAAGATTTCAAAGCTCTTGAAATTACAGTGTTCGGTGTTTACTCTATAAAATTTGACAAAAAGTAGGACTGTCATTTTCAGGGAACTTTCTCATGTATAAAGTCAATCATCATTGACTGCACAAAACACTGTGTGAGCACAGGACTGTGGGTCCCTTATTCAGATGCTGGGTGCAGCACCTTGTTAATCAAATGCTGGGTGCAGCACCTTGTTAATCAAATGCTGGGTGCAGCACCTTGTTAATCAAATGCTGGGTGCAGCACCTTGTTAATCAAATGCTGGGTACAGCACCTTGTTAATTAAATGCTGGGTGCAGCACCTTGTTAATCAAATGCTGGGTGCAGCACCTTGTTTAACAAATGCTGAGTGCAGCACCTGGTTACATCAATACTGTATAATTCAATACTAACATAGATTATAGAATTAATGACAACATAATAAATAGCTGTATTGTTATAACATAGCGATTAAAATATTTTATTTTTTACATTTATAAAATCTGAGTTCTGAACTTTTACAAAAAATATACACATACTTACACAGGTACATTCCACATGTGACTAGATTATAATCAAACATGATGCCTTCAATTTGTTAAATACATAAATAATAGTTTTTCAGATTTTATTTTTAACATGATTAAAAAGCATGAATAAGCAGTAAATATGAAAGGGAAGGGTACATTACCAAGTTGCTAAAAAACCTGTACAAACACTTCATTGTAAAGGCTAGATCTATTGAAACTTAGTATTTCTAAATTTTGACTTTATATTTGATTCTTAATCTTAGAACCTATATACAGACAAATTATCTGCAAGACAGAGGTAGTGAAGGTTACTTTTATTTGAGAGTAAATATCAATTCATTAATGACAATGATCTTCAAAATGCTAATGATATTATCAACAGTTCTCTTCTAATTCAAGTACACAATAATTGTATTTCTCAACTCCAAAAATTCCTTTTTTGGATGGATTGTACAGGATTCCATCGTTTTATCTCTTATGTGAATGTTATGTATTACATCATTTTAAATACCTTTTTTTTGTAAAATGTAATTAATCTCCAACTGTAGCCTGCCTTAATAGCACATGAAGATTTCTGGTAAGAACCTTCGTAAATATTCCTTGATGAACAATAAAATGTATTTTATAAAGCATGAGATAGATTTAGTGAAGTATGGCACATGCAAAACTACTTGTAAAACAGCAACTCCATGGAGTAGCAAATTCTGCCGAACATAACATGTTATATCAATTTATTATTCATTTGATATATCATACCAAGCTATGTGTGAATTATTTTTATTTATCTAATTAATAATTTGCTACAATTATATTCTTATTTATACAATTTACATCAAATTCAATGATGGTATTTGAAAAAACCAACTAAAGATGTGCAAGTGGATGAGCAGAAAGACACTTGTTTTCCCTATATGTATATCCCAGCTAAAAAATTTATTTTGGTAGGATAATAGACATCTGAATACCACTCCTTTTCTTTTGACACTTTGGAAAAACCTGAAAACAGTCTCATAACTGAGGTATTATAATGCAGGCACTTTTCTGTTGAAGGAACTTTGACTTTTAAAAAATAGAATAAAAAAACAGTTTAGTTTAACATTATTTCATCAATAAAGGCTCTTTTCTCAAGGCAGATGCATGATCTGAATAAATGATACACAATAAATACTACATTTAATAATAATGTACTCTACAAGTCGGCCAAGAATGCCCATATTTTCAAATTTGCCAATAAATGTTTAATATTTAGACATATATTTTAGAAACATTTTTACTGATATAATGTTGATCAAACAAAAATCATACTGTCACTTTAAATGGGACAAATTGATTTTTGTACATTCCATCTATAAAAATGTAATATCAAATTAATATTAATCGTTCTTTGACATTTGCATCCATACCTATTGTCTATTCGCTAAAATAACTGCTGAAAATATACTCATAGCATTTTAAAAACTATTAGGTATATAAGTGACTAATGCATCTTCAGCCACAATATTCATGAAATCTATCCCTTATTATCATTAACATATTTATAGCAAAATAAAAAATATGGATGTTTTTGGCCCACAATGTATAGGCCTGATTACTATGTACTTAATGTATTCAAAAAACTTTGTACATTTTTTATTTTACAAACGATTGCACAACCTATAAAATGTACACAACCTTTATTTTAACATGGTTAAATTCTTATGATTGATTAACATATAATTTTATTTTGTGATAATGTGAGGTCATCAATATTCAATTTTAGTCTGTAATACACTGACGGAATTCTACAACACATAATATAATCATAGGTGAAAGACCCCACATACTTTTCAACTGCTTGGAAGATGAATGAAGACACCATGCATGAATGAACAATTCCCTGATGATACATGTATATATACAAGAATGCAATGATGAATGTTAAAGCAAAAATATTTTCAATACAAACAATTATTTTTAATATTTTACTCAACTAATGCTATATTATTCTTTACTTCTCTATGCTCAGATAACCATTGTGGTTGGGCATCTGATTTTTTCATTTTCAATTTAAACTTTTTTTAACAGAAAGACAAATATTTTATTCTTTGTTTGAAGACTCAAAATGTAGCAGTAGTATTGTGTGGACTTTTCATCCCAATGGTCATAGTAAGCACCAGCTCTACTCATATGTAAAACCCAATTTTTAGTGTGTGAATAAAAATTGATTATACACATCGGCAAATATTTTTTGATTACTTATTCAGTCATAGTAGTAATATATTCAGCTGCTAATTATGATTCATCAGCGGCATATTTCATTATGGCCAACTTTTAAAGTCACAGTGATAAATACATTTATTCTTAATCATTGATATTTGAGTAAGTTATGTACCGTTATGTCTATCCAAAACAACTCATATCAAACGCAGAACAATATCTCGTATTCCATTCCAATCTCATATAATTTAGAAATGCTGATCATTTTCAACAACATGTATGATGTCTAATCTCGTGATATGATTAGAACTTGTTATTTCTACATGTTCAGTCATACGGAATTGTTATTTCCACATGTACATTTATTTATTAGAAATTTTCATCCCATCCTGACATCTCATCTGGAGGAATATCTACGTCTTTTGGATAATTATCAAAGTTGCTGAAGTCAGCTGGACCTTTTACCTGGAAATATACCAGAATTTGAGTTATCCAGTGCATATATACATTTGAAAAATTGTTAAAGGTAATTGAACGCCATTGAGTTCAATAATAAAAAATATGCCATTATAATTTTCAACTGAGTTAATTTATTAAAGTATGTTGTTTCTTACCTTTGGTACAATTGGAGGAGTAAGTGAAGTTCTGTTGAGACCATCCCAGTCAAAACCTTGGAACCACCTGAAACAGTACCCCAAATATAGTCTCACTCCATATTATGCATCATTGTTTATCATCATCATAAAAGACAATCAAAGCACAGAAATTGTGAAGCATTATTTTGAGAAGCAAATTGTTGATATTGTCTGCAATTATTAGTTACCAGGTTATAGTGAATAGTCATTCAAAACACAACTTAAAATGTTTTTAATAGGCTAACACAGCTTATAGGTCTTTTTATTGCTTGCTGTTTTCCAACTGTTCCTTTTTCGTTTCCATGCAATTGAAATATTATGAATCAAAATTGATATTACTACCCAATGCACAATGCCACAAGCATGCAATATAAGGTGTATGTCTTACTTGTGTTTCTTAATATCTGTGATGCCGTTTTTCTGGTAACCCAACCTTTCACTTGGGTTGTCCTTGCAAAGTCGTTTAATGAGAGTATGTGCATTACGGCTAATACGTTTGGGGAATTCTATCACATCAATGCCTTTTAGGATTATGTTGTATGTTTTCATAGGATCTGCTCCTGAGAATGGGGGACTGCAATGGAAATACTCATAGTTCTCTTTAGGGTTTCTTAGACATTTCTTTCATAAAAACAGAGAGGTGAATATTCATACATATGTAATACACCTCTCCCTTTAATCCCTTCATTCAGTCATTGCAGAAAATAGCATGTTATTATCAATTAAGTAACTTAATTTGCTACTTAGTAATTTAGCATTGGTGGCAGCGGTGGGATATCTAGGATACCCACATTACCGACTCACTATACTAGAAGATCAAGCGATTGTTTTATACCTTCCTGTTAGTAGTTCAAACATGAGTATTCCTAGAGACCAATAATCAGCAGCATGATCGTGGCCTTTGTTCAGGATGATTTCTGGGGCTACATACTCCGGTGTTCCACAGAAAGTCCATGTTTTACGACCAGCACCAATCTTTTTGGCAAAGCCAAAGTCAACCTGAATGACATAACATTACTGTATTTTTATTGCTTTGTTTTACCCAAAATTTCTGCACAATTATTTTGCTTGTGCAATGCACAACAGGCACAAAATGCGTCCCCTTTCAATCTTTTCTGAACTTTCAAAGAAAATCTACATTTTATCAAAATGGCTGTCAAGATTTTGAAGGACAGTTCTCAGCACGTTTTCACAAAGTAGGGATTTGTGTTTACTGATTGTTTGTATTTAAAACGTTTAATGTCATAGATCAGGGAAATGAATGTTTCCTTTTCACCACATAATGGTCCCATTTTACGTATACAGTGAAACCTGTAAAGTGGAACACCTCTGTAAGTGGAACACATTCAGAGTCTCAAGACTAATTGAATTAATGAAATGTGAACCTGTAGAAATGGAACACCTCACAGGTGGAACACTTTTTAGAGGTACCAAAGGTGTTCCACCTGCTGTATCTTACCAATTTGACATAACCCTGGTTGTTGAGCAAGAGGTTCTCTGGCTTTAAGTCACGGTATATGATGCCGTGGTTGTGTAGATATTGGAACGCCTCAACAACACAAGCCACGTAAAACCGTGTTGTCTGGTCATCAAAACTACCTCTATAATCACATTCAGTTCATTCATTTATCAATGAGGTCCAAAAAATCCAATTAAAGTACATAAATTATAGACTATTTTTCACTCTAAAGCGAGCTAGTAGCAATTTAGTAAAACGAATGTCAACAATATTAAACAAGCTACACATTCAAGCAAAGGTTGCCATTTTTGCTTTATCATCTTGAGAATTTGATAATGTTGATGCGGTTTAGTGACAGTTTGAGTAAATATACATACTGTATTCAAAAAGATCAACTACCAACCTGTCTCTAAGAATGGTCCAGAGTTCACCTCCCAGACAGACCTCCATCAACATATAGACAAACTTTCTATCTTTGTATGTCTTAAATAACCTAGAATATAACAGACAGGACATTATATAGGCAAGGTTAGGGTGTTTGGGGTTTATCGTTTCAAGTTAAAACGACTGACAGTTTGGGCATGTCAGTAACTTTAACTAGCCATAAGTTTCCTCCAAGGGGGTTAGAGTCACAATCTTTCGCAAAAAATGCCTTATTCAGTTTAAGGAGAAGCCAGAAGATTTAAAGTCAAAAGATAAACTACGAAAAAAAGTTTAGGGCGGGGCAGATCTGTTTTATTTCTTTGGACTATAAGAATCTTAATTCATCATGCAGCACAGCACTGTAAGGGGGTTGAGCATCCTCAATTAGCGTAATGTCAGAATATCCACAGAACAAAAATAAGGAATAAATATTCACATCTTGTATCCACATACCTAGCTATAAATTGACACTTTGCGTCAGACATGATTTTCTTCTCTGAGAAGATGTGCTCCTGTTGCCGTGTATCTACAATATGTTTTTTCTTGAGGCATTTCAAGGCAAATGTTTTGCTTCTGTCTGATGATACTTGTACCTGGAATCATATAATGTGAAAATGGTTGTTTCAAAAACATTGTGTCGTGATGATATGATATTGTGATATGTGTCATTAGACACATTTCGCACAACGTTTTTAGCTCGACGCATCTAAAATCCGCAACGAATTCACTAGATTTAAATGCGTAGCAGTTCAATGAAAATGAGATGCGGTTGTGGATACGTTTTAGCATGGGCTTCAAGGTAATTTTTTGTGCGAAACCACTCTACTATCCAACTTTTGCACATACTAAGTTACTTTAATCATTTGTTTTACCTAACACACACGTGTCACGCTGAGAAACCTGAAAAATGTATGTAATCCATGTGTTTCAAATTGTAATGAATCCAGAACATCAAGTAAATTCTTACTATAGGAGCTTGGTCAATAGAAAGGTGACAATATTAACTATAACTAATGACCAAAAATCATATGACATCTTTATCAACACATATGGAGATTCCTTACCAGCTCCACTCTTCCAAAGCCTCCCATTCCAAGAGTAACCACAACCTCCAGATCCTCAAGTTTGATTGGTGAATATTCGTCTTCCAATTGACGACCTTCGTAATCATTGGATTCTGTACTGTTTCTGAAAAATCATAGTTTCCGGTTTATTTTCTTGTCTATCGTACTAATAAAAATTAATAATGGATATTTTAAAATCGTATATGATCTAGTGAGGCTATTATATTAATTTATTCAACATGAAATGTTCATAAAGTTTTGTAAGCATAAATGTGTCGACACTTTTTGAAGACAGTGACAGACAATTTGTAAATGGATCTATTTCAGGCTATGAGGGGTAAGGTAAACCATCATCTACTGATCTTTGTGCCAAAGGAAAATAGAATGCTAGGCCTACATGTACATGTACTTTGTTAATAACATATCATTTCATGAGCACATCTATGCTAATTAGCTAACTGTCAAACAGTAAGTTAGTTTGTTTGTTAACCCAACTGAAATAATTTAAAGTAAAGCAGTGTAACAAAATATAAATTTCACATGCAAAATTAAACAAGAATGGTCCATGAAATGATATCATTATAATGAACATCCTTGTATATCATAACAAAATAAGTTGATGCTCATCAAGCCATTTATACCATATCGTTTGATTTTAGCAACATTTCAAATCATCTTACAGTAGGTCGGCACATTTAGTGAAGATTGAAATAAGAATATTTTGTCATACTAATATCACACTTTCAGCAAAATAAAATAGGGTCATTCAAATCAGGATAGCGCCATCTATGTTAACATCAAGCGAACATTCTTAGATTTTGGGAATACATACACACTCACTCGAGTATAGTACCAGTCCCAATAATTTGAGATTCTGCAAAATTTAACCAGCAAATCTGTTAATAATGATGATTTTCGTGTACGTATAGACTAACGTGAGTGGAGAATCTATTATAAATAATCACAAGAATTCTGAAAAGAAGGAGTCCAACACCTTGGTGCTATTGGAAAAAAGATTATGTTCCTATGTCCTGGCAGATGTAATGTTTAATAAGTAATGGTACAGATTATGGTAGGTGTCTAGAAGGTAAACAAGGCATAAACATGCAAAATATCACCACCTGCCATTTGTTACAGACGCCGACCACCGAACGTTAACCACCGAACACCAATAGCCGAACTCTGAACAAGGTCCACAAAAAGAGACTATAACAATATGTCACCGCTTGTGATGGTGACATAATATAAACAAACCAAGAATGTAGTTATCATCAGAAAGTATCCTTAAAGATACTATAGGCAAAGAAAGAAGTCCCTAATAAACAAGATAAGAGAACGGGAGATGAGTAAGTACATGATTCCAAAGGTAAAAAGAGCAACAAAAGATACGAATAAAAACATCGTCTTTACTAATCAGTTATACTAAATCCATAAATTATATATCGAGGATTAGATTAGATGAATGGGGAATCGGGTTGGTCTAATATGTGATGTCATACCCATTTTGATAAAATGTGCTATTTCCATAAATGCTAACACACCTGCCAAGAATTACAAAAACTTATAACCACTTTAACTACCAACGATACTCACTCTATTGATGGTGAAATCACCCTGATATTGGATATGAATAATTAAATACATTTAGAAAGATTTTGAATTAATCTAATTTAGTAGTCAATGCATAACATTATAAGGTCCAGTATTTTGTACTGTAAAATGTTTCATCGTTCGTGGATTGTCTCGTATAGGTTCTAAGATGTTTTTTACAGTGTAATGTAGTACAGTGCTGGAAACCTTATATGAGGGAAATAGTGCATTGTTTCTAGCTGGAAAATGTGTGCATATCTGTAAAATCATCAGCTAAAGTGATTCATATAGAAATACCATGCAAAACAATTGAGTGAAATAAGAACAATTTAATATAAAATGTGCATGTAAATGGATGGATATGTCTAGCATGCTTAACGGTAAATTTAAATGTTCAGTTCATAGACCAAAGAAAATCTGATTCCAAAGTCTCACGCCTAACCATCATCAACGTACAGCGTCAAAATGTACCGCCGTACGGTTTCTCTGTATGTTGACGTTTCCGCCATTTTAAGTTTTGACGGAGGGAGAGAGTAAGGTAAGAAACATGTTTTATTTTATCAATATCGAGTCAGTTCACCAATCAGTTCTATTGCAAATATGCATATCTACCTCAATTGATCTACATCAACATTATTATAAATTAGAAAGTAAATTTAAAGGTTTTTCAAGAGAATGCTGTATTTGTTACACTTTGATGAAATCGTATAAAATTCCCTTCGATTAACTTTTGAAAACCCACATCGTAGTTTTAAGTTCAAATCGGTTACTTTTGTCGTACAGAAAACTATACGACGGTATTTTTGACGCTACGTTGTCAGATAGTTAGGCATGAGTCTTGCATCGTTGAAGACATATGGGTCTGTTTTAGAAAATCACACTAATGGACTATCCTTTTACTGAATTTTCATAGGTCTACGATTCAATTTATCCATTCTTTTCACTTATTGGAATACAATATTTGACAGATAAACTAATTCAGTGCAGTGTTTTAAAGATTTAAACATGCAAACATTTACGGGTTTTCTTGACTGTATAAGTCTTACCTTTGTGCGCCCCTAGCTTCGTCGCCATAGTCCTTCTCCCTCAGTTCGTTTAAGTCTCCTATTAGCGTATTGAAAGAACTAAAAGAAATGCAATTAAGAAATATTTGATGACTTAATTAAGGAATAAATAATGATAGGCCATTCAATATGGTGAAATTCAGCACAAGTTGGACAGAATGTTGTACAAAGCACGAACCGAAGGTGAGTGCATTTGTACTAAAGATTGTATGGCCTATCATTATTTATTCCTTAAATATATGCGATACCATACGTAATCTTTGAGAAACAGTCTTTTAAATTTGAAGTCTGAAGGAATGATAAGCCACTTGTCCCCAGTTATATTTCTTGATCTTTTTTCGTTGGGACACTTGAATAATGAAATGGAAGTAAGGACGAGCGCCCACTTTCGTAATTAGAATGACGTTCGTAATTAGAATGAGGTCACTTACTCTCTGTCTACTGTTAGACACTCTACACCAGGGGGCAGTGCAATGACGTTGGCTGTTCTCCTGTCCTCACTGTAAATGAACAAAACAAATATATTGTATATGTTTGTATTGTACGTTTGTAAATAAATACAATAGGTCACAGTAGGTTAAGGTCACATATCTACTCGAGGTCACTCGAAATGTCAAAGGTCAATGTATGGTTGCATCACAGAGGATATACGTCCCTATGCCGGAGTATTTTTATTTGTTCACATTAAGAGCTCAAGGTCAACATCCCTTTTTATTTTATAGATATTACGTAAGGTACATGCACTTTAACAGTATAGACTTTACATTTTATGTTTTCTGTGACTATTATCATTATGTCAAGAGAGTTTAGAGGGCAACGTAGTGTAAAGAATCGGCTCCAGTCGAGCTAGAAGTCCAACGCGCTGTCCATTGCCCCACAAAGTCATATGTAATGGAATTTGAGAAAAAACACAATTTTCTTCCATATTCATAACTATATCGAGATTGGTTAACTTAGGTTATATCAGAAAGAAAACGTATACATTTCAATCAAAATGATCTACTGGACATGTAGTTGGGACACAATATCGAAAAACAACTTGAAACTTGTCTTGTGGAAAACCTTTCTGTAGGGAACGCCTGTCAACAGCAAAAGAACACAATATTATATGGTGAACTAGTCTATATGAACACACGTTTTTCTTAAATCAGTCATAAAAAATTCTGAAAATTTATATCGTCATGGTCATCTTTTGAATGGAAACAATATAATTTGAAAAAAAATATATGTACTTTTCTCTATAGTGTTTTATAAAACACATCAGACACTTCTTTTGTTCTTGGTATCATATGTTCGGAAGGAAATATCTATCCAAACCTCATTGGAACAAAACGACATTAACACAACGTGTTTAGGTCCCTCAATATTGCAAATGTACAAAGGAAAGTTTGGTTGATTTTAAAAAAGTATCTTGTTCATGAAATAAAAGGTTTATCTTCATTTTTAGCTATTTTGGGGAGATTTGTTTTAATTTTTTAAATACTTTTTGTAAAATCAACCAAAATTTCCTTTGTATAACTATATATATTATTGAGAGGTCTAACAGAACGTCGTATATGCTATTTTGTTCCAACAAGGTTCGGAAAGACATTTTATTTCATTCTCAAGAATTGGGAGAAAGGAACAAAAACAATTGCACTAAAAAACGAAAAATGTTAACAAAAACAGTTATATAATAAAAAAATTATATAAATAATTTCCAACGATGAAGTGAAATTCAATGCATGCACGAAATCAATAAAGTTACTTTTATTTCATGTCTTATCATACGTAGTAATAGATTGCTCTCATTATCAATCCAGTAATATTCTTGTATGCATGAATAGGATAGTTTCTAAATAGCAGAAAAATCAATGAAATCTCGTGCTGCCATCTTTTATTCAGCTTTTAACTCTGGCTAGAGCTCCATTCACTTACATGCTAAAATCTTGGAAAAGTGGCTTAATTTCATGATTTATCAAAGTGTGTTTGTTGAATCTGTATAAAACTTGAATGATATACCACATGATGACCCTGTTTATGAACATGTTGTGATTAAACATGCTAATGTTGATTGACATACAAATAATCCACGGTTTTAAAGAATTTTAGCATTGCATCTATGGACATTTGGCCCAACTTTTTTTAAATTGTCATAGAAAATTATTCAAATTACATAACTGTGTAAATCAAAGCTATTTTAGGAGAAAACATTCCACTGAATTCAAATATACCATTTAAAAGAAGGTAATGTAAGTCATTAGAGGTCTAATATGCAAGTCTCTTAAAATCTCACGAAAAACGAGATTTAGCGAGATTTCAAAAGCTATATGGAAACTATACTATTGACTCTGTTGCGCAATGGATAGCGCGTTGGACTTCTAGCCGTGATAAACAAAGTGATTCAAAGGTTGTGGGTCCGAGTCCCACCAGAGTTCATAACACTTTTGTTAGAAGACAAACGGAACAGTGATATTCAATGCATACACGAAATCAAAAAAGTTACTTTTATTTCATGTTCTCATCATACGTAGTAACGGATTGCTCTCTTTATCAATCCAGTAATATTCATTGTATGCATGAATTGACTCTGTGGCGCAATGGATAGCGCGTTGGACTTCTAGCCGTGATAAACAAAGTGATTCAAAGGTTGTGGGTTCGAGTCCCACCAGAGTTGATAACTTCTTTTGTTAGAAGACAAACGGTACAGTGATATTCAATGCATACACGAAATCAAAAAAGTTACTTTTATTTCATGTTCTCACGATACGTAGTAACGGATTGCTCTCTTTATCAATCCAGTAATATTCATTGTATGCATGAATTGACTCTGTGGCGCAATGGATAGCGCGTTGGACTTCTAGCCGTGATAAACAAAGTGATTCAAAGGTTGTGGGTTCGAGTCCCACCAGAGTTGATAACTTATTTTGTTAGAAGAAAAACGGTACAGTAATATTCAATGCATACACGAACAAAATCAATAAAGTTACTTTTATTTCACATTCTCACGATACGTAGTAACGGATTGCTCTCTTTATCAATCCAGTAATATTCATTATATGCATGAATTGACTCTGTGGCGCAATGGATAGCGCGTTGGACTTCTAGCCGTGATAAACAAAGTGATTCAAAGGTTGTGGGTTCGAGTCCCACCAGAGTTGAAAACTTCTTTTGTTAGAAGACAAACGGTACAGTGATATTCAATGCATACACGAAATCAATAAAGTTACTTTTATTTCATGTTCTCACGATACGTAGTAACGGATTGCTCTCTTTATCAATCCAGTAATATTCATTGCATGCATGAATTGACTCTGTGGCGCAATGGATAGCGCGTTGGACTTCTAGCCGTGATAAACAAAGTGATTCAAAGGTTGTGGGTTCGAGTCCCACCAGAGTTGATAATTTCTTTTGTTAGAAGACAAACGGTACAGTGATATTCAATGCATACACGAAATCAATAAAGTTACTTTTATTTCATATTCTCATGATACGTAGCAATGGATTGCTCCCATTATCAATCCAGTAATATTTATTTATGCATGAATTGACTCTGTGGCGCAATGGATAGCGCGTTGGTTTTCTAGCTGTGATAAACAAAGTGATTCAAATGTTGTGGGTTCTAGTCCCTCCAGATTGTTAAATGACAAACGGTACAGTGATATTCATTGTATGCGAGAAATCAATAATGTTATTACTCATATTTCATGTTCTCATGATACGTAGCAATGGGTTGCTCTCATTATAAATTCAGTAATATTCACTGAACGCATGATTAGACTCTGTGTCACAGTGGATGGCGCGTTGGACTTCTAGCTGTGATAAACAAAGTAAATAGACGCAAAATCATTTTTTTGACTCCTAAAATTATATTTTTTAGGAGTTGAAAAATGATTTTGCGTCACCTGAACTTACCTCAACAGAGCTTTTTCGCCAAAATAATCCCCTCGTTTCAACATTCGTATTTCTTGCGGTTCTTCTTTTCCGGATACATTTTGTGTGACACGGACCTTGAAAGAATACCATTTTGATTTATAAGAACAATAAAAGTGATTAATAAATGTATCTCTTCTTCTTTCATAATAATGTTTAATAATTACTAGTAACAGACAATGATCTTCCGTACACAAAAGCCAAAAAAGAAAAGGAAACCGTGTTCTTACCTCTCCTTTTCGGATGATAAAGAAAGTATCACCAGTTTCACCCTCTCGTAATATATACTCGTGTTCATGGAAGAAATCCTATAATATCAAAGTGTTACAATCATGATAGAATACCAAGATTATTATATCATTCTCCATTCTCCAGCGCCCCATTGTGTTGTTTTAATTGGACTATACTAACCAACAAATATATTTTAACAGCACAATATTATCTCTTAAATTCGAACTTTGGCACACACTACCATAGGCTATAACTGTACTAATTGTTACACAGCATGCAGTTCATACATTTCTGTATCATATACATACTGATCCAATTTCAATATCTACTTACAACTTCAAGCACATCTGCAATTTTGGCAAGTTTGTCTGTAGGCAGCTTTTTCAGTAAAGGCACACTGAAAACAAGAGAAATTAATTGAAACGTGTTGCACATTTCAGTCTCATTGACATTCAGGGTATCTGCTGCATTTGGTTAAACAAGCCAAGTCAAGCACCGTATTGAAAAGGGTAAGTACAGTTTGATTGTGCAAGGTTATTGCCAATAGACTAGATGTGAGTAGACTAGAAATAATCTTTTTTTTATTCATAGAAAAAACATTTGAAAGCAGTTACATTAACATATACAATATACATAACATCATGGAAGTCACACAATTTTCCATCATATTCTTTTTTAAGGCATCTAACCACACTAGTCTAATCTAATCTAGTACCCATAATTTCCCACCTTTTTCTCTGCCTATTCGCTTATCAATATTACAATAGGATATTACATTTGCTTTAAATCCTATAAAGGTACAATAGGTCTTAACATCGAACATTTGCATAGGTTCACATATCTTTTAACGTCCTTAAAAATTCAAAATTCTGTCAAAGTGATATCAAATGTGAAATATACATGTAAAATCACATCTAGAAATGTGGTTTTAAAAACTGTTATCAACTTTGAAACTTTAATTTTCCTTGAAAATGTGACATTTAGGTTGTGAAGATTCCCCCATAGACCCACGTTATAAAATAAAAAAACGCATCTTGGTAATTGTACCGTATATAGAATGACTTCGAGGGCTGTCAATAGATGCTACTCTGGCGGACATTGTAGTTTCATCATTCACGATTTCTACATTATACAGGTCAACGAACAAAATGATACTTTTGGACGACAGGTTGTAACAATGATTTTCCTCAAATAATTGTGTAGGCTTCATTTTTACAAACTCATATCAATCACCTGCTTGGCATAATTTCCAGATATATATTTTCACACTCTGGCCTTGGTTGGTATGTAAACATACAACTGATCGATACAGTCGTATTATTGATCAATGTTGTATGACATACGGTCAATCTGTCACTAATTACTTTTCACTGGTAAGGGAGCTGAATAATTTCAAATTCATTTGTTTCTAGGTTACCTTAGGAAACGTGATATCAATTGATTTTTTGTCATGAACTGACTGCAATGTGACTTTAGTTTTACATGTTTTCAATATCTCGATCTTCCCGATGGTTTTGATAATTAGCACTTCGGAAATGTCATAATTTCACAATTATTGTGGTTTGAAAGAATGGTCAGTAATATGGGATCGATGCCAGTCTAGGCTACAGGGCTCAGTTGCTTGGATTAAATCCACTGGCGGATAATGGGGGGGGGGGGGGGGGGGGTAAATTTTGAAGAAAATGGGCCTCAAAATTTGGGCCCACTTTTGTTTTTTAGGGGCCCCACATTTTTTTCTCTGTCCCGAAATTTGCCCCCCCCCTTGTTGGTTCCCAGATCCGCCCCTGAAATCATTCCCTATGTGCTCTACTATAGTTCCACACGGGGAGTCATTACATTGTCAATCCCATTACATCTACTGCAATACAATCCACTCCATAATTATTCAGTGGTATTGATATACTAATACTAATAATTGATACCTTCTGAGAAAACGAATATTTTCTTCTTGTCTTTGTAGACCAGTTTTCATCATAATCGCCTGGAAGACTCGTCGGTCTAGAACCCACATCCGGGCATTGGAGGCAGCTGAAAGATAAATGTGCATGTCCGTAGTTGTTGTCTACTAACTTGAACCTTTTTGACTTGCTCACATGACCAGATAGGTTTCAATTTCTCAGAGGTAAGGATGGAAAGACTATTATCCTATGCTAGTCAAACCGATCCATATTAAGAACAGTTCGAAATCATTTTTTCCATTTCTTCATTTTTCAAAGTACGGCCCTGATAATTCAAAACGATATTCATGTATGTTTTAAACACCAACCCGCCTGCCCAAAATATGCGAGAATGAGCATGAACGTATATATATTTTGTAATACCTCTGACTGAAGCTGTTCTGGTACAATTGTATAAAATTGCCAGTTCTCCGAATGCCCTGCCAGGTCCCATCTTTCCCAACAATTTTCCATCCTTCATAACTTCCAGTTCTCCCTCTGCAACAAATAACAAACAAAAATAGTAGTTATTGACACGTACAGGCTCTACATTAGTATAACGTATTGAGGTCTAACATCCGAATGGCCCATGGACTTAGTTTTTACCAATTTTATACGATTTTTGAAACAATTATTGTTCTATCCCTTCATTTAATTTAGGATAACACTCCACCCGCCAATGGTTATATTAAAGAATGATTGTTTCAAAAATTACGGAGAGAAGTGTATGTGACGTCACTTTGCGTTTAATATGTATTTTGCAGATTTATATTTACCTCGTAAATAGTTGTTAATTGCGATACTAAATGTGCTAAATATGCTAACAACACACTAAATAAGAAACTCCGATAAGAAACGTTATGTTAGTACCGAAACAAATCAAAAAGTAGAAACACTTCCCAAGTTTACTACATTGTGAACTTTACTGAACAAAAATAAACATTAAAAATAGAAGAAATATATCGAGTAATAAGCGCCATTAAAGCTACATCCCCGGAGGGTTCCAAATGTAACTTAAATTAATGAGAATACAATATTTTTAAAATAAAAAGTGTATAATCAATTCCGCAATCGGAACCATAGGGAGCCATAAAGTGCCGTTTCGTGTTCCAGTCTCTGACGTGATACCGACACTAACGAGGCGCAGGGACCAGATGGATGGCAATGCGATGGAGATCAATTTAGAGATGGAAATAAATGATGTAATGTGAAAGCTTTTGGCAATACATCATATTCACATGAATGTAATTTAAAGAAGTTATTAATGTTCCTCATTAACAAGTCTAAACACTCAACTATTTTAATGCCAGTTGGGAACTGTTCAGCATATATCAGTGACATAAGCCTACTATAGTCTTCAAGATTTCCTGATTATATACATTTTTAATATTTAGTTTTAATAATATTTTAGCCCCTTGGGTGATTGCGTAATTGCGCAGTACTAGCGGATGAACCCCATCGATTAAGTTGTACTCGCGGTGTTCAATTATTGGATAAGGTATGCTAAAATTCTGGCAAAAGACTATTTCCTCTATTGTCACCCGATCGTCAAAGAATCGATCGTCAGTATCTTCTGACCATCATAAAGCTGACAATATTTTCCGCTAATCAATGTTCTCTTCGAAGTAATGTCCCCAGACATTTAAATGGACACGGAAGGCACCGCCGCATTTAAATGTTGGACCTATTTTCTAAAAACATCACTTTTCATTTTTTGTCTAAAACCATCAAAAACTTCTTCAAATGTAGAATGATACTGAATGTCCAAATACCAAATTTCGTGACCAAAATGAGGCTGAAAACAATGGTTTGCAAAAATTGTCCCATCTTGCTGTTTTTGGAGAAATATGTGGTCTTTAATACCTTTTCTGAAGTTGTTAAGACAGTTTTGGATATTTTGATATGTTGAAAATGGGAAAGGAAGATCATGTCATTTTTCAATTAATCAGTTTCAAATATTAAAATGTGTCAATATGCTGCCCTAATCGATGGATTTTCATAATTACATTTACTGCAGTCCTACGATTAGATTTGACGTGTAGTTGATTTTCAGTTTTTTAAATGCGGATAATGCAATTTCAAAGTGAGACTTGACCATTCGTATAACGTATCTTTGGTAATAGTTTCCGATATTCAGTTAAGCCAATGAATGATCGGTATTTTTGGAGAATTCTTGATAAATATGTGTTGTCATACCTGCTGATACGTAAACATGTTGACCGTCATCACCCTCTTTGATGACGTAATGGCTTGTCTTCACGTTGATGGCATACATACAATCTACCACTTCGCGGAGCTGTGTAGGCTCAAGATTCTTCAGAAAATCGTTATCTAATATGGCGTCTTTAATAAGCTGTTTAGACCTGGAAATAAACATGTTTATTTATCAATAAGAGGCAGAATCGATTGCATCGTCCCTTAAAGCTTCCAGGTCATTGGGACTAAGCCTTTAACGTCCTCTTCAAATCTTAGAACTATGAGAACACAGGGCAGCCAAAATCTCAGATATATATTCAGTCAATAAACCGTGAAAATGATACCAATGATAACCAATTTCCTCATCCTGACATTTGTTTTTTAATATACTTTATATGCATCGTCAATATTTTATCATTTTGTGGGCATTGACCAAGGATCTTTGAATGGTCATGTCTCACGCACCTTGACAGATTCTGTGTATTATATAAAACGAATTTGCAGGATTCATATTATTACTTCGTGACTCTGCATCAGCAACGAACAGTGAGGTGATGCTCCCTGTGATTTATGGTGCATCATCTGGGATATCATTGTGATTAGTACTATGTATCTAATATACGATTGAACTCAGCCAATTGCTTTCCTTCGGATTTCTAACTGCCTTTTCTTTGGCATTAGCCCAGAGGCCTTTGTCACAATGTACAACGATCAGAAATGGTACGTGGCCATTTTCAGTGATTTTTGAATTGAGGGCCGCTCATAACGTTTCCAATAACAAATGAGCTACACCATATAAGTAAAAGATTAAAGTCCTCTCTGATATTGCATACATCTTGGATTCAGAGACCTGATTCGATACAAAATGTGAAGTAACGCAGAGGCGTAGCTAGCCCATTTTGCGAGTGTACGCCCGTATGATTTCCCGGTTTTATCAAAATTAACAAAACGATGGTTCCATAAAATAGGAAAATCCCGGGTGTTCAGAAGATAAGGGACACACTAAACACTCTTTATTCAATGAGGGAAATATGTATTGTTTGATCATTTTGACATAGCTTTTTAAAGGGATTGAATTAACTGTATTAACAGATAATATTCGGGAAACAAAAAATACAGATTCTATATAATCATGCCATCGGCGATCGAAGCCGTCTATCAAGGCGATTTTATTTTTTAGGCTACCTAAAACTGTATGTATGAGACTCACTGTTTTAAGCTTTTGTGGTCATTCTCCATGAAATATTATTATTTTTTCTGTGTTTGTTTTTATCTAGCTCACAAGATGATTAACAATAAAAGAACAGTTACACGACCGTCTCAACTCCATTTCGGATCTTAACAATCTGTACGTGATTCTATAGAATAAATTCTATCTTTCTGTTTTTTTTGCATTGCGAACATGTCAATAACAGTATCAATGTTTATATCCTGTTCCCTATGGATATGTATCATGGCCAAGGAAGAAGGTCTTTCCTCGTTCATTGTGGAACGCAAGTATGACTTAATGCGTTTCAAACTGCTAAAGCTTCGTTCAGCCACGCAAGTGGATACTGGCAATGTTAGCAGCTGGACCAAACACGTGTAGACATCGGGGTAAAGAGGCTGGGGGTCTGTTGAATAATCTCCTATCGATTTCTATCTCTTGGTAAAATATTTATTTTTCATCACAATTAATCAGGTAAATTTTATTTTTCCTTAAAATTTGAGAGTACGCCTGGGCGTACTTGGCGTTCACGTAGCTACGCCACTGAACGAGATTTAAATCTAGGTAGGGACCTAGGATAAAGAAAAGACAATACGTATACTGTTACACATGTGGATTCAACCAGGATAACAAATGTGGACATGATGCAATCTAACAAGGCTTTATGTTAAAAAGTCATATCATCTGAAAAAGTACACTTGGATACACAGCACGGCGACCTTTGTAATGACAAAGGATTATATTTTTGATACTGGCTGTCTTCCTGGTCCAAATTGACGATGAGACTTTAAGTAGCAATTTTATTAATGTGTCAGAGTAAACTAATTTGATTTTGATTTAAACAATTGATATAATTGATTACGACATTTTGAAAGTACAGTCTGGCCCAATCTAAATGACTTTACATTTGTATTCAAATTATGTTTTTATAGCATTTCAAGCGCTTTTCATGAAAGTGATGTACTCATTTTTTCTGGGCCAACCTGTATGTTCGGTTTCATGAATAGTTGGCGTAGGCAATAAGGAATAACGCTAGTTATTTCTGTAGATTTAGCAGATTTGAGGTAAGGTGTGCTCCAAATGGAATGAGCCTCTCTGACATATTTGGGCAAAATGTTACTTTTTTTTAATTTTGAGTTACATCGCACTTACTGATAACGATCGTGAATGCTCAGACACCCGATTTCCTCCATTTGACTAGGTCTAGAGGCGAAATATGTCATAAAACTGTTGTAAATATAAAGTGTACTTATGTTTGGACCCTGTTATTATGCTATCGCTGCTGTTAAACTGTTAAGGATATTTGGGAGCTCGAAAATTAACAATTTGAAATACACGAGGTCCAAACTAATAAAATTACATCCTAACATTTGTTCTAAATAACTCGTCTACTTCATTCAAATCATTGGTCCACCGTTTTTCTCTCTGTTATACACTTCCCTTCCCAGTTTCCCAGTTTTAAGGGGGGAGGAGACAGAAAACAGGAATACTAAGTTAATAATTAAATCATAAAATTATCCCATTCTCGAACTCAGCGAACTCATAATCAATCATTTCATGTTTATCAGCTCAAATGCAGAGATTGTGCATTGCTATCATGTAGAATCAATCACCGAGCAACCAACAACGAATGTGTACATTATAAACACATCTTGTACTTTCCATCACAAGGAAACCTGAATGAAAAACATTATAGTTGATAACAATCCTCGTGAAAGAGATAAGAGAAAACAAAATGCACAGACACTCGTAAACAAAGAGCATGAAATTGGATTTATCTTTTTCAGCTCCTGATATCAGTGGCATTATCATAATGACCATAATGAAGATGTTACAATTCATAAGAGTTGGACTAGTTTCATTTGCCAGCTCAAGTGTACTAGAGATAAGCAACGTATGGCATGTTTTGAAATGAATGCCATCCCAGGCTTTACGTTTTGTGTTGTATTGCATCAACAGAAGGGCTGCGATTTGATCTGTTTAACACTTTCATCTGACTGATCATCCAATGCTTTCTGATCAAACATTTTCATGCATCAAGGGGGTAACTAGGATACTGAGAGCAGATCGAACAATTTTTCAATACTATTGTCAGATAAGTCAGACCTTGAAAAATATTGTAAAATTGTGACAATTCCACCAAAATACATTAATCCCCAACACATGTTCACGTGTATAAAGAATGCGGACCTTGAGAACACAAATCGCCTCTTTTCTACAACTGTTTAAAAACATCCAACCAGTGGCGGATCCAGGAACCAACAGGGGGGGGGGGCAAATTTGAGTTCAGAGAAAAAACCTCCGAAAAAAATTTTGGGCCCCTAAAGCCGAATAGTGGGCCTAAATTTTGAAAATTTGAGGCCCATTTTCTTCAAAATTTGGCCTAAAATTAAAAAAAATAAGGCCTTAGAAGGCCCAATAATGACCAAAAGGCCCACTTTTTGGGGCCTTAAGGCCTTTTTTGGCCTACATTTTTTTTGGGCCCAACTTTTTTTTTCTGGGCCAACCTTAGGGGGGGGGCATGCCCCCCCCCCCGGATCCGCCATAGCCAATCATTAAAAATATTGAAAATCCAAGCAGTCCATCAATCCAGGCGACCCATCTTATACCAAGTTATGAAGTTTTCATACTTGATTGAAAATCAAACTGATAAGTGAGTATGTGAGCCAACACCAACATACAATTCAAACACCATGGCGTCTATGTTATGTAGAAATGTACGGTTGTTACAAATTGACTTTCAACTGTTTTTGATCTATCCCTTTAATGATATATCGATGTAATGTCAACACTTCGCGGTCGTATACGATTCTAATTACAGTATTTACACGCCTAACCATCGACAAGGTACAGTCACGTGACAGGTGACAAAATCTGCCGTAGTACACTTTTGATGTACTATGTCACTATTAACTGATTTTGAGCGAAGACCATGATGTAGGTTCGATGCAGGTTTGCAAAAATAAATTTTAGGAGAACACAAAGGATTTTATGTTTGATTTCGCGTGCATTCGATTTCAAAGACATTTATTTTTCTAATAACGTTAAAAGATCTTCGAGCAGTGCTCGATTTTTTTCGTTGTTAGTCTACCCATACGATTCTTCGGTTGGAAAAATGTTGTTTTTTACACATTTCCTTTGATAATTTTCTCCCCTGACGTCTCAGAGTGTCGAATATTTTTATGAGAATGTGTTTCTCTAAACTACACAGTTTAGGACAGGTGAACATTTAATAAACATTCATGCATTTGATATAATTTAAAAAATCAGAAATGTACGTTGTCAACTCCCAGTGTAATTGAAATACATGAGTTATAATATTAAACATTGCAATGATTTAATTTCAAAATGCATTAAGGGTTTTATGCGTTACAAGTGATGTTCAACGAAATGCTCCTGTATCCCTAGTACAGATAAACAGGTAAAAGTGATTTTTTCGTTGAATGCTATTTTATTTTATGAAAGTATTAATATGGTGATTAATATGTGACCACGGCGTGTTTTCTTCCGACCTCTCTAACCACTCGACGTCCGTACGTTACGTTATGTTTAGTTGCACTTTTATGAATTTTAATAATCTTAAGGAGTTCATAGAGAGATCTTTACTAGCTAATCCAAGATGACTTTATGCTACAGGGTGTCCCGAAAGTATGGGCCCCCATAGGCAGACATATACCAATGTCTCCATGTATGTGTCGTATATCATTTTAAAGCTCATCCAAAGTTACATTAATTTGCCGAGTATCATGGTTCAACTCACAAATGGAAAAAGTTACAGGAATTTCAAAAGTTAGTGTTTGGACAAAATTAAAGTCAGTTTTACACCAAAACAATAGTCGGTGTGTCTCCTTAGCCGCCATGTTAACAGCAGCAATACTTTCCATATATGATCTTAAACTGGCTTCAAATAGGGATATGGCGTTTTGTAATCTTCATAAAACCTTTTTAAGGCATAAGAAG